TTTTTTTTTTTTTGCTAGAGTCGGGTCTTGCTGCAATTTTTAAGGTGGCAAGTTTCAAGATTGGTTTGAAATTTTCAAAGCCAAATACTAAATTTTCATCTTTTTGTATTGAGATTTTGAAAGAAGATAGATCTCATTTGTTAGCTTTCCAATAAGTCTCAGCATATAAGAAGAAGAACTATGACAATTGAAATACATGAAAATTTGTATATGGAGGATTGTGGAAGTTTTTGGGTGATGAGATTCAAGATTGATTCAAGGTTTTCTATACCATTTTTTGAATTTTTATCTTTTTATGATAAAATTTTAAAAAGAGCTAGATTTCATTGTTAATTTTTCAATGAATCTTAGCATGTAAGAAGAAGAGCTATGACAAGGAAGATACATGCAAATTTATAGGTGGCGGATCTTTTGAGTTTTTGAACAATGAGATTAAAGATTAGTTTGAGGTTATTTATGCCATTTCTTGGATTTTTATCTTTTTATTGTGAAATTTTAAGAAATGTAATAATATATTGTTAGCTTTCTAATAAGCCATTGCATACAAGAAAAAATTGTAACAAGAAAGCTCCAAGCTAGTTTATGAATAGAAGTTTTAAAGGTTATAGCTATAGTAAGCAGCCAATTGTTTTCTTTGGTTTGGTTCTCATTTTCTCTGAACCTTGTTTATTGACTTTAATAATTTGAAATTTATAGCTTGAGTTAAATTCAATGAGCTAAATTTCATCTAAATTGAATTAGTAATAAATAAGTTATAGGTATTTTAGTGACGAGGATTTTAAATTTGAGATAAAAGTTAGGAATTAGATACATTTTAGTATAAGAAAGAAATTAATCTATAGATTGTACTTAGTCTTTGAGTTGTTCTTTTATATTTGAATTCATTTGGAATAATATTAAATCTTTTTGTAACCTACTTATAATGAAAGACCTTATGTTTTCATGAGGAAGCTTTTTATTTTGACATTAAAAGAAAATAAATGCTACCTCTTCCTCTAGAAGTAGATAATAATCAAGAATTCAAGGTAGAAGAAGTCTTAGATTCAAGATGGCACCAAAATAGTTTAAAATATCTTATTCATTGACACAAATATGATATTAGTAAATGGACATAGGAGCTAATAATTTTTTTGTAAATGCAACAAAGAAAGTTGAGGCTTTTTCATCAACAATATCCATAAAAACCAAAATGAAGAAAAGTAAGATCTATAAAAAATGATGACTGCTTCTTATAGAATTTGTCTCTAGAAGAAGAGATAATATGACAAATAAAAATATTTATTCCAATAATTATCTATATAATTAGGTAGAAATAGATAAAAATAAATTAATTTCATAACATCTTCTAAAAGAGCTTCTTAGAAGCTTCATAAATATGATTTTGACTTTACACATGTTCATAGTTGATTGATAGGTTAAAAACTTGTTCAACAATTTAACTACATATTACATATATTAATAGCTTGTAGAATAAGTTAATTATATAGTACACATATAAAAAACTTATCTTACAAGTTAAGACATGTGTCTAATAAAGTCAACATGTATTGGAGGGCTTTTAGAACATTGCTATATAGTTCTTAATTAGATATTGTATATGGAGGTAAGAATGAAGCCTTTTCTATTCTTTTCTTTTATAGTAGTCATTTCAATTCAATATATTACCATCTTTGAGTGATTTTTTAGTCTTTTAAAGTGACACAAGAATATATTAAAATTTCTTTCCTTTCAGATTTATGTCCTTGATAATAGCTTTGATCAACCAATTAGAATTAAAATTACAAAGATCATAGTGCTTTAAACAACCACCAAAATCATACAAAGATTATACTTGACTTGACAATGTATATTCTTTTGTTGAAGCAATAAGAAATGGTAGTGAACAAGTATCATTTGAACAAATTATTATGAATCTTTGATAAAAAAAGACAATAAATTTTTAGCTCAATTCTATCAAGCATATCCATATATAAATACTTGTCAAGTATCCATTATAATTCAAACTAACTACAACTATGTGGATATATAAGTTAAAACTTGATATCAATAATTAATAAGATATAAAGCAAGCATTGTGGTTAAAAGCTTCTAATAGCAATAAAAAGTGTATTATCAAGAAACCTTTGTACCAACAATTAGATAGAAATCTATGTAGACCATTGTAATGCTAATTGCACATCATAAGTAAAAAATTGAAGATATAGATATTGCTACAACCTTTTTAAATGAGAAGCTAAAAGATGATGTGTACATAGAAAAAACTTTGGGATATGAAAAATCCACTATAATACATCTAATATATATATATTAAATTATTTATTATATGAATTATAATAAAATCCCTATAAATGGTATATCAAAATTGATACAAACCTAAAGAACTAAGAAATAAGAAAAATAATTTCAAATTCAAATATATATTACAAACAAGAAGGCAAGTTCATTGTAGTTTTGATATTGTATATTGACAATCTATCAATAATCAACTCAAATACTTCTAGTATTGTCAAACTTAAGAAACAACTTAATATCTTTTATGAAATAACACACCTCAATCTAATGACAAATTTTTTAGGTATTGAAGTTCTTTAAATAAGAAATGATATACTTTTCTATCAAATAGATTATGTCAATCCTATATTTGATAAATATTCTATACTTAAATGTCCTCCATCACATGTATTTTTCTTGGAATCAATCAAATTGCCACAAGAAATAGATACACGCATGGTGAATAAGATATTTTAGTAAGAGTTTGCAAAACAATAATATTATTGTACAAAGATTTGCTTTGATATTGGATCTATAACATCTTTAATAAGTATTTATCTGCATGAACCACATGAGCTTTTATTTCAGAATATCTATAGAAATACCTCTTATTGTGACTATGATTTCTAAGAAAAGAAGATATCATGTTGTCAGGCTTTTTTAATGCCAATTATAATAACATTCTTGATGAAAAAACTTCAATCATTAGATACTTGTTTTAGTTTTAAAAAAACTATATATTATGAAATTAAAATAAATAAATAAATAAATAAATCTAATAGATCTTTATACAAAATAGAGTATTGAACTAATAATACTTGTGAAGTAGTATGGCTGAGAAAGTTAGTTCAAGAGCTAGGATTTGATGATAGTAAGCCGATTATGATTCATTAAGGTAGTTAGAATGTCATAAAAATTATAAAGAACCTCATATTCCATGACATAAGTAAACATTTTGAAATAGACTAACATTTTATTAAAAAAAACTAAGATAAAATTAAAGTCCAAGTAGATTTTATTTCAATCATTAGTCAACTAATAGAAATGTTTTTGAAGGCATTTAGAAGAATTGAATTTAAAAGATGCAAAAGTACACTAAATCTTAAGTCAATAGAAGAAGTAGAATAATTTAAAATTTAGACACTAGAATATTACATCCTATGTCCTTTAATCTTATAGATTCAACCTACTATTAGTCTAAATATTAGTCTTATAGATAGATCGTTGCCTTTATCTTGCTTTTAAAATCCTCAAATTATACACTAATAAAATCCTTCACTGACTTATTGTATTCAATTAAAGATGTGGAGATCCTTGTATAATATCATCTTTAGACAATATAATACATACTAATTCAATTAGCTAAAGCTTCTTCTTGATTGGACATATTAACCGCAAAAATATATATATATATATATTATATATATATATATATATATATATATATATATATTATATATATATATATATATATATATATTATATATATATATATATATATATATATATATGTTTTTTATATGCTCATCCATAATCGCTAGCAGTTTACTGTTAAGAAGTATATTGAAGACTTGATGTTCAACAAAGGATAAGAACAATCTAAAAATAAAATGAAGTAGTAACATGATGGCCTATATTAGTATCCACAAAATCAGGTCCTACAAATGTCCTTAGTTAGAACCAATACTAATTGAAAAAATTAGATATTCAAAAATAGAATAGATAGGAAATCCTAGAACTTATTTATTAGTATGAAATCTTGTATCCACCTAAAAGTATTCATTGTCAATGCAGAGTTGTGAAGTTTAAAACTTGGTGATGAATATAAAAAAGGTTATTGGATGTTTGTTCTCATTCTTAATTATTGCTATAGTAATATTTATTCATTAGCTCTTCTAGAGGCTTTTTGGGGTTATTAAGTAATCTCAAGAAGTTGAGAACTCTTGTTCCTATCTCAATATTTAAAATAGATAATGCATTCTCAACCATCCTTTTATTTTTACCAAATAAGGTAGTCTATTTCTAATCAATTTGACATGATTCATTGATTAGTTCTAATACCTTGTTGTTGCACATTATTTAGTGCATATTTTGTCTCAACTCTACGGTGCTATTAGCTAATTTCATGCCAACTCAAAAAAAATTGGTTGGAATCAAGCATTCTCTTCTTTGTAATCAACCATTGGTTGGAATTAGGTTAACCTATATGACAAGTGTATATGAAACAGAATCTTCAGCTAAAAAACTCACTCTAAATTTTTGTGGACAAAAAGATATGAAAAAACGTGGAATCTTCCTAAATTCTATTTTTCAATTTAAGGAATTTTTTTAATTTATCATACCCATACAACAGATAGCCTAAAATGCTTAAGTGATGGGAATTGAGTTGTTTACCTTACGTCTCTTCTTTACATCTCTTTAATGGACTTTTAGGTCCCACTTTGAACTACAACGTTCTGCACACCAATCAATCACCACCAGATTAAGAAATTAGAGAGACGAAAAGGACGTCCAACGCAGCGGAGAAACACCACGTCACGTGTAGATTCCAACTGGAATCACGTCCATGTCCAACGCAGCAGAGAAACACCATGTCACGCGCAGATTCCGACTGGAATCACCACGTCTCAGCTGTGACATTGCACACGGAACGGCACACCAGGATGGAGCCACGAGGTACCAGGTCACCAGGTCGATCGGGAGTCTACTCACCAAACGGAATCGCCACCTACCTACAAGGCAGAGTGAGGGGGTTGTTCGACGTGTTGGCTAGGGAGGGCTCACCTTCACCCGTCACGATTAGTATAGATACGTGAATTTTCCATTGTTATTGTCGCTTGTTTGTGGTATTGTGGATATTTTCGGAACGGTTTACGGGTTTTGTAGCGAGTTTTTTGGACCTCATCCGGTTAGGATTTTTGGAATTAAGGCTGTTAGGCTGTTCAATTGAGTCGGCCCTGCAGGTTGATTATTGTGGGAATCGGAGATCGCCTCTCGGGAGTGTTTTTTAAGGTTCGATCGCAACATGTCGCAGCCACGGCCGACGCTTCGGCGTCTTACGAGCCTCAAGGAGCGAGTGGAGAGCTCTTTGCAAGAGCATCGCAATGAGCTGCTCCACCTTCTGCAAGGGTAATAATATAGCAGTTGTTGCTTTTTTCTTTTACTTTTTACTTTTTTTGTTTGTGTGTGTGCGAATTGGTTGTGATGTAGCTTTTTTCTATGTGCTGAAACGTTGTTTTGGAGAGGTTGCCATGGTTGACCTGTGCCAATGGACTTTCTGTGTGGCTATGATCGAGTCTCGCTGAACGGATTTTGCAAATGTTTTTTGAGTTGTAGTTCTGTGTTGAGTAACCTTGTGTGAGACCGGGCTCTACTTGTGTCCTGTTCCGAAAGGTTGATGAGATGCTTGTTCATGCATCGCTACTAGAAGTGCTAGTTTTTGCAGTACCAGCTCCTAATATTTTTTAAAAAAACTCTATGTCCAGCAGCTGGTAAAATGTGTGTAGTTGTGTACGCATCTGATATGTTGTTTGGACTCTGGCCAGCTATGTGGCACAAGGTCGTTCAATTCTTCAACCGCATCATTTGCAAGATCAACTGGCTGCTGTGCACGATGCTGCCCATATTCAAGACACTGCTATTGGAAAGCTTCTTCAGAATTGCCAGGTATAATTTTCATAAATCTTGAAAACTCCAGTTAATTTTAATAAGATTCTGATAAGAAATGAACCGTGGACTGTCTTTATATAGCTTTTAACTCACTGGCAAATTTTTCGATATTTCAGGAAGCCATGGTGTCGCCACCTTGGGTTGGATTTGCCGTGCGTCCAAGGCCTGGAATCTGGGAGTATGTGCGCATCAATGTGGAGGAGCTCATTGTGGAAGAGCTTAGCGTGTCCGAATACTTGGGTTTCAAAGAACAGCTTAGCCTTGGCTCTGAGTAATTCTCTAAACCATCCTTTGTTATCTTGATCTTCACAAGACACTTTCAACCTTCATCAAAGTAATAGTCACATAGTCTTTGAACTAATAGGTCAGGTACTGTTAAAAGAATTTCTGATATGAAGTCTTTCTGATAGTAAATATTAAGTATAATTTATTTTTTTATTTTCTATTTTTTTTCTCTCTTTCTCTGGTCACTATCCATTGCAAAGGCGATTAGTATTGAATAGCCGTATTGATTATTTCCCGGAAATGCAGTTCAATTGATCTATATGTGCTGGAGTTGGATTTTGAGCCCTTCAATGCGCACTTTCCGCGCATGACAAGACCATCATCCATTGGACATGGTGTACAGTTTTTGAATCGCCACTTATCTTCTAAACTCTTTCAAAATCCAGAGAGCATGGAGCCTTTGTTTCAATTCCTTCGCCTCCATACTTATCGAGGAGAGGTACTGGGATATTTATTTGCCTTGCTGTTGATTATTTTTTGAAATACGTCTTGAAAGCATGCGAAATGGCCAGCAGAGGGCTTAATGCGTTGAGTACTGTGTGCATGACCGCGTTTTTCTGACATATGGACATTATGTGGAAGCAGACGCTGATGCTCAATGAGCGGATTGCAACTTTTTCTAGGTTTCGTCCTCAGTTAGTTAGAGCTGAAGAGGCCCTATCAAAACTCCCAGAGGATACTCCATTTTCCAGCTTTGCACACAGGTACGTCGTCCTACTTAACACAGGAAAGATGCCCATTGTAGGCAGATATAAACATACTTTCATATTCTTCACTACTTTTGTGATATTTAGGCATGATCCATGTTAGTCGTACCATAGCTTTTTTGGGACCTTTTTTGGGAGGCATGATCTGCTTTGGTGTTGTGATAAGAGTTGTTGACGGCAGTGATGCACCATACAATTGGTACTTGTGGTTAGTGGACACCTTTAAGCACCAGGACGAGCACCTTCAAAAGTGAGTTTTGAATCTGAACGTTTATTATTGCAGGTTACAAGAGTTAGGTTTGGAAAAAGGTTGGGGAAATACAGCAGGGCGTGTGCTGCAAACCTTGAAGTTGTTACTAGATCTGCTCCAGGCTCCTGACCCAGACACACTAGAAAAGTTCTTAGCCAGAATTCCTATGATTTTCACCGTTTGCATTGTTTCTCCTCATGGTTACTTTGGTCAAGCAGGTGTTCTTGGCTTGCCTGATACTGGTGGTCAGGTATCAACCACATTTACAGCTCTATTTTAGGGATTATCTCGCTACTTCTGGGTTTCTTCATGTTTCTTCGTAGCATAATGTGGCGTAATATGGGTATTGAAGGGAAAATAATGTTGCAGTTTTATTGAATGATTATATGATTGAAGCTTTACATATTGTGGGCATGGAGTGCAGGTTGTTTACATATTGGATCAAGTGAGAGCTCTGGAAAATCAAATGTTGGAAAATCTTCAGCTTCAAGGGTTGGATTTCAAGCCGCAAATTGTTATTGTATGTTCAACACTCACCCGAACACTAAGAGTTTTCAGTTTTGCTATACTTCTTTTCTTTTCCAAGTAGATGGTAGAATCTTCAGATCGTCTGATTCATGTGGCTGCAAAAATAATAATTCGGGTGTTCGGCAAATTTCGACAGCTCACACGATTGATTCCTAATGCTAATGGGACTACCGTCAACCAGCGTATCGAAAAGGTTTCAGGCACTCAGCATTCGAGGATTCTACGTGTTCCTTTCCAACACGAAGGCAACATCCTGAAGAACTGGATTTCTCGTTTTGATGTTTACCCCTACTTGGAAAACTATGCTCAGGTAAGACGAGATTTCGGTTATGATGGTCAGCAATCTCTGGAAACTAGTTGTTAGAGAACCTTGCAACGCCTGTTTTCATTTATTGTCAGCATGCTGCTCTTTTTTCATTCAAGCAATGTTAATGCTTTTCCCTGCATGGCATCCATGAAGAATATGAGTGACAAGTGAATTTCTGTGTGTTCAGGACGCGGCCAGGGAAGTCCTTGGGGAGCTCCAAGGGCGGCCTGATCTGATTATTGGTAATTACAGCGATGGTAACCTGGTCGCGACGCTTCTTTCTCACTACCTTGATGTAACTCAGGTTTGTCAACTAATATTTCCAAGATAGATATGGTTCTACTTGAGTGTTTAGTTGCTTCTCTATTTGTCACTATATCCAATCAGTGAAGAGGGTTGTTAAATAACCCCTATCGACATCATCACCTTCGTTGTCTTGCAGTGTATTATTGCACATGCGTTGGAGAAGACAAAGTATCCGGACTCGGACATTTATTGGAAGGACTTTGAAGAGAAGTATCACTTTTCATGCCAGTTCACTGCTGATCTCATTGCGATGAATAGTGCGGACTTCATCATCACTAGCACCTATCAAGAGATTGCCGGAAGGTGCAATGATACTACAAGTTGAACATTGTGTATCTAAGGAGCTTGATGCTGTTCAGTAGAATTTGCTTGTCGGAACCAGCTGAGAAGTAGTGGCCTGCATGAATTTATTTGTCTGATTTTTTTTTCCTTGTTTTGCAGTGCTGATACCGTGGGACAGTATGAAAGCCATCAGGCATTCACAATGCCAGGGTTGTATCGAGTCGTGAATGGCATAGACGTCTTTGATCCCAAATTCAACATTGTGTCCCCAGGAGCAGATATGAACATCTACTATCCATTCGCAGACAAAGAACGTCGCTTGACAAGTCTACAGGAATCTATTGAGGAGCTCCTTTATAGCCCTGAACAGACGGATGAGCATATGTAAGTCACGAAAGCGGGTAGCATGTGCAGTTCTTGAATCACCAAGGGACTGACTCGTATCTTTAATCGTCCTTCTGTATGAAAGTCATCGAAGAAACGACAGTAATAGTAGTTTTCTCCCAAAAATCTTGAGACTTGTACTTTTTGTAAACCTAATACGTAAATTTTTGACGGGTGTAGATAATAAGTGTTGCTACATGTAATCATGCATTCCAGTCCCTTGTGGGTTACAGTGTTAGCCTAGATGTTTAGATGCTTCATATCGTCAAATTTAAGCGACTGACTTATTTTGGTGGTTGTTTTACAGTGGGTTGATTGACAAGGAAAAGCCCATTCTCTTTTCCATGGCTCGACTCGACAGAGTAAAGAACCTCACAGGGTTAGTAGAGATGTACGGAAAGAACCAGAAACTAAAAGAATTTGTACATTTGGTAATTGTTGGAGGCGAAATCAATCCTTCAAAGTCGAAGGACCGGGAAGAAGTTAGAGAGATTGAGAAGATGCACAATCTCATCAAGCGGTACAAGCTTGAAAATAACTTCAGATGGATCCGATCACAGACAAATAGAATTCGAAATGGAGAGTTGTACCGTTACATTGCAGATTCTCAAGGAGCTTTTGTACAGCCTGCACTTTATGAAGGTTTCGGTCTGACAGTGGTCGAAGCTATGACAAGTGGACTTCCCACCTTTGCAACGAGTCATGGAGGCCCAGCTGAGATTATTGAGCATGGGATTTCTGGGTATCATATCGATCCTTATTATCCTGATGAAGCTGCTGAACAGATCGTTGCTTTCTTCGAGAAATGTAAAAATGAGCCTGGACTTTGGAATAAAGTTTCTGAAGCTGGATTACAACGCATATATTCCAGGTGGGTCAAATTAATTCCTTTTTCTTTTGCTACGTGGAAGATTAACCCACGAGTCATTTACCATACATTTTCTATGCTGCCAAATTAATCTATTATCTGAGAAACTGATGATTTATATGTTGGTGCAGCTACACTTGGAAGATATATGCCGAGCGGCTTATGACACTGTCTGCGGTGTACGGATTCTGGAAGTATGTTTCAAAATTGCACAGGCAGGAAGCTCGGAGATATTTGGAGATGTTTTACATCTTGAAGTTCCGTGAATTGGTACGAATGGACTTGTTCCCTTATTATAAATCCAGAAAATGCATTCTGTCATATGTGTGGGCGACGTAAAAACCATACCAGTTAGTGCTACATATTGCATGAACTGGTCGTCGTTACTTATATGGCATGAGAATCAAGACCGCTTGTCTAACGCTCTTGTAGTCATTTATTTAATTTGCTGCGTCTCTCTCTTTGCAGGCAAGAACAGTACCGCTTTCAAAGGATGATGAGGATGTTCTAGAAAAAGTTGAGAAGAAAGCTCAGTTGGGTCCTGGCGTAGGGGCAATTGTTGGTGAAGCAGCAACAGCAGTCGAAGCACGGAAAGCTGTTACTGGTCATACATAATCGCAGTGTAATTAAACAGTTCGTCATAAAAGCTATCTGTATGCTTTGCACAGAAGGATGTAATATATGTTTTGGGGTTTGGTTGAAGTGCATGGTTTGAACGCCAACATCACAGTTGATGACTTAGATCTTGTTTGAAACATGTTATAGATTTTAAATCATTTAACTTGTGAAACAATATGATACACCAGCAATTATTGTTGAAAGCAATAACTTTGCTTTGTTTTGTTTTTTAATCTAAAGAATCTTCTTTTTTAAATTCACAACTTATTCATATTGAAATTTGTTAGAATATATGGTACAATATATTTTGAAGATTTAAGAAGGTTCTATTTACCTACTTATATTTAAAATACCTTTTTTTTCTTGAATGTAGGCTTTTAGACTATTTTAGATTATTTTAGCTTTTTACAAATCTCACTGTTAAGTTTGGAAGTCAAATCTTCCAAAAAAAAAAAAAATCTTTTAGTAACCTGGTTTGTAAATTCTATCAATAATTTTTTTTTTAAATATTTTGATCATTTTACTGACAAGTTTTATCATAATTATTTTCTTAAAATAATCTAAATTAGATGGTTTTCTAATCTTAAATTTTTAGTCTTTCAAGTAATATACTAAAGAATCAAATTAAGACTATTATCAATGTTATAATTTATTAAAATCTAGTGGTTTTATATATTAAAATTAATTCTTTTATTATTTTATTTTAATCTAGTATATTTATTTCTTACAAGTAAAAGATTTTTTTTGCAAAAATATACTTATTTATAATTAAAGTTTTAAATTGCATCACTTGAAATTTAACAAGACTATTCTATATTATACTAAATTTGTGCTCATAAAGATTGAATGTATCTTTTTAATATTTTAAAAAATGAAACTCTTTATTAATTATAAATTTAATACTTTTAAGTTAATATTATATTTTTGAAACCATATCTTATCACTAATTTAGAATATAAGTCATTTTCTTATAACATTTGCATTAGGTTTTGTTGTTTTTAAACTTTCTTTAGTTATATTTTCATTGTTATATAAAACTTTGTTATTTTCTATATAAAGTTCATAGAGATGATGATGTAGAGTTGTTCTTTGAAAAGAAGTGTTATAAAATTGGATAAATGCTTTGAAAACTTTCTAGCTTTAAAGCCACCAAAAATCTCTTTAAATAACCTCTAAAGTTTTGTTGTATTTAAAATATCATAATTTTGGAAAGTCATGTAGTGCTTAATCTTTTAGAATATATAAGCATATTGATAAGAAATACTTAAGATTTTTATCATTGATATAAACTAAGATTGGATGAAAAATGCCTTCTAGATAGTGAGACCATACTTGAAATAAATTCATAAGTACAAAATATTATGTCATCAATCTTCAATTAATCTTGGACTTTACAAATTTTCTTGAATGAAAAGTAATACAATGAAGTATATTATTTGTATCTATTTGTAATAGAACTACACCAATTCCAATTCTAATGCATCTATTTCTATATAAAAAAAAAAAAAAAAAAAAAAAAAAAAAAAAACAATTGAAAAAGTATGAGCAATATAAAATAGGAGCTAAAGTAATTCTCATTTTCTTGCAATTTTTATAAATATTTGAGCTCTAATAAATAGATATTGAGATAGTTTGTTAGATTTGTACTAAATTTAGAATATTTATCCTTTACCAATCAAATCTATGTTCTTGGTGCCTCTTAAAGAATCAATTTTTCTTAGTAATTAATTGCTTAGTAATAATTTTTTCTAATAGTTATACTTTTGACATTCTCAATAGTAAATCTTTGGCATTTTCTTCAAAGCCATATCAAAATTAATTAATAAGAAATTTTCTTGTTCCAATTTATATAACAAATGAGATGTTAGAATTTTCAAGCACAAATAGCAACTATGTGAAATCTTTACTATAAAGACAAGAGTTTTTTTCTAAAACTTCTCTCTCTAAATGCAAAAAAAACACACCTTCAAAAATGAGTTTAAATTATATAAAAGTCATGAATCCTTCTCTAACAAAGATGCAAACTAAAAAAGAGTACTTTTAGATATGAGTGTTTTTACAAATCCTACTTGAGTGATACAATTAGAATAAAAAAAATAAAATAAATAAAATAAAATGTAATTATAAGACAACTTAACTTATTACAAAAATCTTTAAATTTCTTTATCTTAATCCATCAAACTTCTTTGGCATGTTGATTTTTGACTCTTTTATACTTGTGGTAGCAAGACCTTCTAAATTTGCTTGTAAAGTTAGTTTATTTGTATGTAATTTTTTTAATTTCAAATTCTTTTGATGTAAATATTGAACCTTATTGTTAATTTCTTCAATAGATGTAGTAGTATTACTTCTTAAATCAAGATTTTTAATACATAAAATTTCTACTTGAAGAATATTAAAAATTCAAGATGATATGCAATAGGTACAAATATATTATCACTTCTTCCAAGTGTAATATCCATAGTTTATTTTTTTATAGCTAAATTTATCTAAATTTAAAATAAGTAATACTTAACTAATACATAATTTAAATTAAAAGAAGGTAATATACAACCTTTAATATTAAATAAAAAACTTCAAAAAGAATTATAGTCCACTTTCTCTAAAAAAATATTAATTTAAATATATATATAATTTAAAGATAAACCATTTGCAACCTTTGAAATACAATAATATTTTTTAAGAAGTAGAATAATCTACTTACTTTTTAAATATAAAAAAATTATAATAAGTTTGTAAACTTGTCAAATTTTCAAAGACATGTATCTTGATAGAACTTTTAAAAAACATATACAATCTTATATTATTGAAGTTATAAAATATATATAAATAAATAAATTTAGAAAAATATTACAATAAAAGAAAAATATTAACATGAATGAATATAATCTTTGTCTTTTCTCTTTATACATTAGCTACAAAGAAGTTCTTATAGAACCTTCCTAAAAACTATAAGGTTTTTGATCTAAGCACAAAGATGTACTCTACTTCGAATGCAACTTCTTAAAAATAAAAAACTTTTAAGATAAGTTTTAATGTCTATATAGCACATCTATAAGAGTCTAAATATATAATTTGCATCTAAAAAATTTACTTGAATTTTTTTTAATAAAGATATTATCTACTTAATATATCAAGTCGAAGATTTTATCTACTAGTAGAGATAAAAGAACAACAAAAATTAGGCAAAAGAATAGCAAGAGCATTTATTTTTTATAAATAATAATAATTAATTTGTTGATAATCATCAATTTTGAATAATTTATCATTAGGTATTTGTTAATCTAATAGTGATTATATATTAATCATTTTATCTAACACATAAATAATGTCATTAATAGTCATGGTGTAATAAAAATCAAACCAATGATATAAATTTTAAATTGATATAAATTTTAATAATTATTAGTATAATTATTAATATTATTTTAATAGAAAACCTAATCCTTCTTAATTAAGGTAGGTCTTAAAACCAATTTTATGATTATAATTAATTCTTGATTATAAGAATGTATTTTTTATTTTTACTTACTTTAAATATAATTTCAAATTAATATCAAAACATTAAACAAAAAATATTGGATTTTTGTCATTCATAGGATTTTAAATCTCATTTTGTAGGTTTTGAATGATGGTTTAAGATTAGTCTAAACACAAATGTTATGAAAAGTGCTAAAGTGCATTAATAAAAATTATTAGTTAAATTCAGAATAAGAATATTGTTTCAAAAATTTATATGTTACACTAGTGGCATTAGACTTTTGATCTCCTAATTTAAAATAATGTTGCTTATAATCAAATATTATAAGAAATTTTCAAAATTAATTCTTTTTTACTAACATATTTTATATAGAATTTGAGTTTACTTTTTAATTTTTTTATAAATCTATTGCATTCACAATCATCTTTGTGTTTTGTTTTTTTTTTTTGTTTTTGTTTTTTTTTTTTTTTTTTTTTTTTACCCTGCATCTATTCTCAAAAGGATGTTAAAGTACAATGGTTATACAAACTAAAAGATTCATTTGTAACTAATAGTAGTGGTAGACAAAAGAAAATGTATTCTTATACCATTATTTCTTTTATGTATTACAATATTGTGAGGTCATAAAAATTTGAAAGTATGTTCCTCTATCCATTATGTTTTATTGCTACTTTCGATCATAATATTTGCATGTAAGTTTTACAGACAAGTTGAAAATTGAATTTCAAATATTTATAATCATAAGCTAATTTGATGTATAAAGAAGAAAATATTCAATTCTACTGTATTTTATTACAGTATGAATCTCCTGAACAATGTTGTACATGAGTCAATATACAACAATTAGGGAGGGTTTTAAACATAAAATTAATAATCTCCAAAGCTCACTCCACACACAATAACACCACACAACCACGTGTCTTGATTACAATTATAATGAAACAAAACACCAGTTGTCACATTAGAAAAGTAGATGAATGAGGATGGATGAAGAAAACACGATCGGTTCGGTTCGGTTGGCCCGCGACACGTTCATCCATGGCAGGGCACAACTACTCCCTCAATAAATAAATAAGAAACAAATCCGCTGCGGATTCAAATTAAGCATCCGTTGCCATCAATAGCCCACAGGAGCGGGAACCGTCCGATGGTCAGCGAAGATGAACGGCTACGAGAGCCTCGGGGAGGGGGGAGGGGGGTTTAAACAGTCTGGATGGCAACGAGGTCGAGGGGGGGTGCCCGTTCGAAAAGCGGGCACCGGAGGAAGGAGGCCTTCATCGTCGCCGCCGCAGGACAAGAGAGACAGGGGCGGAATGATCGGAACCCAGTAACGTTGCAAGCATACGTGCGTGGATTCCTGGCCGGACGGGTCGCTCCCAGCGTTCAATTCAGGTGGCCAGCGTTTTGCGGCGAGCGTGCGAGCTAGGAATCAGAATTTTCGAATGTAATGTGAGGGGCGAGGCTTTATTTGTGTTGTTCTTCCCCGTTTCTTTTGTTTTTGTTTTTGTTTTTGGTTGTTTTTGGTGTGTTGTTGTTTTTGTTTTTGTTTTTGTTTTTTTTTGTTTTTGCGTTAATTGTCTACTATGATCATGATCCGCATAACAGAACTGATCAGCGAGTGATTTTGAAATAGTTTATGATCGCCAGGAGAATGCGGCGTCAAGTTCGTCAGGAAAACGAATCCTTCGCTGTGGTTGCCGCGGTTTTTTCATCTTGAAGTGGGGTCGAAGGGCTTAGTTGGCTACACCTTTAGAATGATGCTGAATTCTCTTTGAGTTGGGGAGGTGCGCTTGGGTTGTGAGACGTACCCGCGAGATTAAGCAACTATACACGTGATTGCACATTTTTGTTTTTTGTTTAAATTTATTGTTTTAGGCATTTTCGAGAAGAGAGTGACAAAGACAGAGGAGAGGATTCAGTAGGAGGGAGTCGCGTTGCGAGGGGAGGGTTTTGGCTGCGGCTGCGGCGGTGCGAAAATGGCGTTCAGTAATGTGGTGATGATCGTGCTGAACTTCCTCTCAATGATATTGTCGTTGCCGATAATTGCTTTCGGGGTGTGGTTGGCGAAGAAGGGCGACACGGAGTGCGTGCGGTTCCTGCAATGGCCGATTATTGTGCTCGGAGTATTTGTGCTTGTGTTGTCGCTCTCGGGCTTGATTGGGTCTTGGTGCGGGAACAGGGTTTTGATGTATTCTTACCTGTTCATCATGTTTCTCCTCATTTTGCTACTCTTCGTCTTCACGATTTTCGCATTCGTCGTCACCAATTCTGGGGCGGGGAAAACTGTGTCCGGGAAAGGTTATAAGGAGTACAGGCTTGGGGATTACTCCAATTGGTTGCAGAAGCGGGTGGACAACCCAAAGTATTGGTCCAAAATTAAGAGCTGCCTAGTAGATGGCAAGGTGTGCAGCGACCTTACCAAGTATACGTCGGCTGCCAGCTTCAGCAAGGCGCCCCTCACTCCTCTCGAGGTTTGTCTCCAATTGCGCCGATCGTCGAATTTTGAGTAGACGCGGTGGCAACCTTTCATCTGAATTGCTTATTTCCAGAAGTTGTTTGTAGCTCTTCGTCTTGAGTGTCACCTGGACAACCTATATACTGTACTCACGTTCTGCTTGTGGACTGGGGTACGGGAAGACTTTCTGATGTCGTGAACTACAGTATGGCAGTTCCGAAGTTTTTCGGATATTTGATTGTGAGTAACTTGTGTGTTGGGTCTCATTGTTCCTGTATGTACAGTCTGGATGCTGTAAGCCACCAACAGAATGTGGGTTCACCTTCGATAACGCCACGACCTGGGTTGGCAAACCACCATCAACCGTTAGCAACATTGACTGTGGACAATGGAGCAACATCCAAACCAAGCTATGTTTCGACTGCAGTACTTGTCGAGCTGGGGTGCTGCAGAACGTGAAGTCCAACTGGCGTAGGGTCGCCGTGGTGAACATTATTGTGCTGGTGTTCATTATTTTCGTTTATTCATGTGGGTGCTGTGCTCTGAAAGCTTCTCGCAGAGAGCGGGCCAATCACAAGTACAGGTATGGGTATGCCTAGTTTCAAGCACCACGGCTTTCTACTTGCTTCAATTAATAGCCAAGTCACCGACTATCACACGACATGGTGGCTCACAGTCAAGCTGAAGACAACAATGTTTCATTTTGAGACGCGGCTCGAAGGCGAAAGCTACCACATGAGATTGTCATGCATGAGCTCAGTTTGTTTTCCCAACGGATAGCTTTCCAATTACTTTCAGTGGAGCATGACCTCCGTTTGGTTATGCCAGCTGTTATGATCTGTTCTGTTCTGTGATATACATAGAGACGGCACAGTCAAAATTATTCTTGAAAGTGCTTCTCATAACGAGCTAGTGTAGAAGGTTCGAAAGTGTAATGTTTGAAGCGGTAGGTGAAACCGTTATCTCAACAGTTCAATCCTGAGCTTCCTATAGGATGTCAACTTAATCTAAACCTATTTTACTCTCTTCAGTCGCAGCCTTTGAAGAATATACTATATGTGTCTTCGTAATTTCTTGTGTGGGGAGAAACCGTAACTCCTGTTGACAATCTCGTATCGATCTGTAAGACCGTCAGAGTCAGTGTCTTTTTTTTTTTTTTGTTTCTTTTGTTTTTTGTTTCTTATTCAAGCTATTTCACAAAGTGGCACTGAGTCTATAATTCTTTGCTCTAAAGCAGCCATGGTGGTGAGGTCATCACAGGTCTGATAGAAAGACTGTGGCAGGATGTGCATGATTGATAGCATCTAGTAGGATTCTCGAATTGAATATGATGGTGAAATGTTCATTTCTATGACCCAATTCAAGTGTGGACGGTGGAAGTGTAATTCCCAAGGTTCCAGCAACAATGCAGCATGAGCACATGAATGTAATCCGCAGGTTGAAATTATTGATTTGCAGCGTTAGCTAATTAACTTTCATTATCAATAGGCGAATAAATCTCTGTTTCCTGTGGTGTCGTGGTTATTAACTAGTTTCAACATCTAATATCACTATTCCAGTGATCACATGTGGAGTAGGGTATTAAAAAGAGGCCAACCTCCAACATCACCATTCATTACACAAAGGAAAAGTACTATTCGGTGTGGCTTTGAAATTGGTGCAACTTTTGTGTATACAGGCAATTGTGACGAAAACGGAGTCATGGCTTCTTTCTCAACACCTATGCAATGATTTAATGCAATTTCTTTGAAGATTTTTTTTGAAGAACTTTTTATGAATAATACATAGAAGTAACATGGGTAGTTTCTCTTCATTCATTCATATAGATATATATATATATATATATATATTTATTCATTTCATGGGATGGTAGAAAAATTAGAAATACCAAAAAATTAGAATCATCAAAAAAGTATTGGAGTGATAATATATATCTAATCAAGTCAAACAAGGGCTTAGCAATTACAATTATTTAGTAAAAATGATATTAATAATTATAGAAATTGTGTATTAAATTTTGTTCATCTGCTATAAATATGGTCAAATAATAGAAATGTAGTAGTATTACAATTTATCAAGAGAATGAAGGTAATTATTTTTTACTTCAAAAATTGTAAAATTTTGAAAATGTATAAAGTTAAGGTTAACCCAATTATTAAGAATAAAAAATATATAATCATTATTTTAATAAAGATCATCCAAATCAAAGGATTTAATACTCAAATGTCTTAATATCAAATTGCAAGTTCAAATTATAAAAAGGTTTTGAATTCTTTGAATATGTAGATAACCATAAAAAAAAAATCTATTAAAATTAATCTTTATAAAAAGAATATAATAAGATAATTATAGATAAGACTAATATAATCTTATTTTTTGCTATTTACTACATATTAGTGATAAAATTGACATTATATTTTTTATTTTTTACCTTTTTGGTATGTTAAGATGAATCACTTTAAAGCTATTTTCTAAAAAAAATAAAATTTAAATCATTGCCTAATTCAAAATTTTAAAAATAGATAGATTGTTTCGAACTATTACAAAAGATATCAATTTTGCAATTAAATTTATCTAAAAAGTATTAAGATTATTAAATTACCATGTATAAAATATTAAAAATAATTTTAATGTATTTAAAGTATATATTAGGGGCATAAAAAGATACAATTGAAATATTTTTTATTATAAAAGAAAATTTGACATTAGAATAGAAAGTAATCAAAATTACTAAACTACTTGTTTTAAAATAAAATTATATATTTGATTTTTTAATTTATTGATTTAGCCATGCTAATCAATATTTAATCTTAATCATATATTTATTTAATAATATATAATTGCCCCTAATATATACTTTAAATACATTAAACAATATATAATCTTTAAAATCACTATAAAGAGAATTTATATAATAGTCTTTTTAATAAGACTTGCAATAAAAGTTGTTATATATTTATTTTTTTTTAATATAAATTCCATAAAGAAGCTTCAAAAGAAAATAACTTAGTCCCAAAATACATCAAAACTCTTTGGAAGAGAAAAAAAAAATGAAATGAAGAATTTAAAACAAATGATTATTCCACAAGTATTTATAACTAATGTTACCTTTTTGCAAAAAATTTGAATAATAATGTTATTAGATTTAAAACATTTCTCCTTTTTTTTTGATTTTTAACTTTTAACTATTATTATTCTTTTTTCTTTTTGTTACTTTTTTTAAGATTCAAAACTCAATGACATTAATAATTACTTTAGTGACAATTGTACTATTAAAGTTAGTATTATTTTTGTAAAATATTCTTTAGCATATACCTTTTGTAAGACCCAAAGATAAAAAACTTATTATTATTATTATTATTATTATTTTGATACAACAATTGATAATTGTGCATTTACTGAATAACAATTGAGTTAACAAGCATATCATTTTAGATTGTTACCACAAAACTACTAACTTAAAGCAAAGCATAGAACCATTCAAGAGTGTTGTTCCTATCATTCTTTTAGGTAAATCAACCCCAGTTGAATCTGGCATATCGCAGAAATAAGACCATGAAGGTAATCTATCCTCAATAGGGTTACAAACATATAAGTTATCTGGATAATGAACCTTGTTCAGAGTGTGTCCTTTGATTCCGAACAATCTTGTAGTTCCAGCTATACTTCAATACTACGACCTGTTCGACGTCTTGAGAGATGAGCAAGAATTCCTGTGCAATCATGCCTGATACCTGCACTATTGTACAAGAATTCCAAGGCAAAATCGAATTCGTGGTCTTGCTCACTTGCCACTCTTAAGTTCATCCTCTACCGACTTCCACCCACAGTACGCGACCTTCCATCACACGATTGGCAGCAAGGAAAGAGTCAATATCCTACGATAGTGTGATGTACAACTACCGACTGAAAGTTATTATAGACACGCGCGACACAAAGGGAGACTATCTACAAGGCTTCAGCGTGTGGGTCGCTAGAACCTTGTTATGGACTCAGCATGTAATCGGTGCAGCGGAAATTGAAGACGTCGATGGATACTACAGGATCAGTCGCTCAATTCCATTTTCATGAAGAAGTCAAGAAATGATAACAGTTAAAAAAGCGAACTGAGCTCCTAATATCATGAAGACTTTATCTTCATATGACCAATACCTAGTCTATTTCTAAAGAAAATATCTTAGTTTCATACACGTTGCTAAGTTAGAAATGGCGCAGTTTCTAATGTTCAGAGATGCGCACTGAAGCTAAACAAAATACGCCCACTTCAAAATTACGCAAGCACATTATGGTATAAAAGATTGAACGTTGAGCCTGTTCAGCCCTTTTTAATGATATAGAGCAGATTGAGGCTTCACTCAAATACGTAGCAGCTCCCTAGGAACTAAGAAAATCAGCGCTAGAGAAAAGCTTTTTAAGTATTGAGTATCAAATCTCAAGCAAAAAAAATTCCGTTCAATTAAGACCAATGCTATTTAATCATAAATATTCAAAGGCTTGACGAAGCTCCCAGATGTTGCCTTCAGGCAAGACGGGCATCTCGCTGCACAACCTGGACATGGATACCACGAATGATCAACATATGAAAACATCAACCAATACATGCAATCCATCAACGATCTTGTAAGAAAACAAGGGCCACACACTACAAGACTAACCCCTCCTACAGCCCACATTGGCTCCTCCAACAACGGAAGTAGTGCGAGTAGGAAATCCAACAATATTAGTTAGTACGAATTGCGAATTAAGACGAACCTCTTCAGCAAATTTTATTAATATAGTTGTGCGGGGCCGCGCTTGGCCCTCCACGGCAACAAAATGAGCTGTTACTCTTGCAGGAAAGCCAGCTCCATCCAACACTCCCTGGCAGGCACATTGTGTAAAAGTTAAGGTAAATAAATAGGACTAAAATATATGGCATCAGGTAAATCATATACAGGCTTGTTGACAGCGATGAAGCTCCAAAAGTGGAAAGGAACAAATTAGAGAGACAATCACCTTCACAATACCCGCTACAAATGTGCCACAATTGAAACCTCCCATACCTCCTGGAACTGAAACAAACCTGGTTCAACCAGATAGGAAAAATCAACCACTAGTGTATCAATAATCCAATACAACATACATATCATTTGGCAGGGTTGCAAGCATAGGCCACATGTATTGATGGTTCTCATAATAAAACTCGATACTTGAGATATTAAATTCCCATATAATTAGCTCTCTTCAAACGTTTTGGATTGTATTATTTTTATTTTCATTTTTATTTTTTGAGGATGCCTCTGTGCAAACAGAATATTGAGATACATTTTTTTCAGATTCAAAAGTAAATTTGCTAGGCGATTTCAAATTGGAGAATATTGTGCAAGGTCAAAAATCACACTGCTATATTCGAATAAGTGGTGCTTAACTCGTAATACTCTTCATGCACAGGATTCTAATAAGGAAATCTGCATTCACTTCGTTTCCTTAACGCAAAACAAATTGAGGCATCAATTCTAAACATCGACATCCCAGCCTATCAAGGGAAAAAGGGAAAGACATACCTGTTAACAAGAAGCTCCTTCTCACTGATCATGTACTCATCTTCATGTTCCGTGCCCTTTTCTAAAGAATCTGCCACCTGAGTGTAATACAAAATATAAAATGAAACAAAATGAAATGACATTAGTGCGAGTCAATTACATGTGAGAAAACTTGAGACACCAAACTATCAGAGGCTCGATCGTAAGGGCCAAGTTAAAAACCTTCCCAAAAAGAGATTTCCAAACTGTGCTGTGAACGAATGAAAGGATGCCTAGAACTCTCGTCTCCCTCCTGTTAGCCTGCAATCTCATTGCACATTTGGGTGGTCAGACATACAGTTCTAGAAGAATCCCTCGTTCTTAGCCATAAAGCATGAAGTTAGCAGCTAGAGAGTGCGTGTAGGTAATTGGATACAAACATTTATTCTGTTTGAATTCGAACACCGGCAACGAATAGTCGTTCGTATTTCAACAGCATACCAAAAATTCTATCAATATCACAGCTACGCAATTGTATCAAGTGCAATCAGCATCTGTGAACGGCATTCATATAAAACATTGTAGCCCCTACCAGGTGACCTGAAAAGCTGTAGAAGTGCATATTAGCTTAACTCCAATACATACCTTATCTCTGTGGCACAGCAACTCAAGCATACGGATACCAACTCCGAATCCAGCCTCTTCCAACCTGCTTGTCAAGGTTCCAAAAGGACAAGAAATTAGGTGGGCACATAAATGTAAAGCCATGGTTGAAAGAGACCAATTTTTACACGAAAAAATCCCACCAAAACGATAAGAAAATAATAAAAAACAGATATGCCGTGTTACCATACAGCTTGCGAACAAATCTGCTTGAACAGCCTTCCATGTGCAAATCTACGAGATACTGCGTGGAATGACATCATTCAACAGATTCTAAGGCAGAAAGCCGCAGCGAAAGATGACCTGTGTTCCAATTCTGCAATATTTTCAACTTTTCCTTGGTTGTACTGCACCAGCTCTGAAAACAAGAATGCAAACGCACTGAGGCTTACCTGCACGGGAAACACAGGGATAGGTGAGCAAACAGGAACGTATTGCTCAATTGCGTATGAAGACACTCACATCCAGGCAAGCCTGAACAGAGAGACCAGAGCAACTAGCATCCGCATACCTTCTCAAATTTACCAACTAGACCTCCCAGTGTGCTCTACCATTCAAACTACACGATGTCTACTTCAGACGCTGACGGCCTCACATGGAAATGACACCATTCTCTATAGCATAGTTGATGATAACCATTCAAAATAGGAAGTTCCATAATATTTAGGGCATTTCAAACTATTCAAAATCATTAAAGTGGCCAAAGCCTGCTTTCGATGAACAAAATTTGAAGGGAGAGACAACTGAGAACGCTGAGGTCTCAATTCTTGATAAAGACCTACGATACATTAAAAGATAGTTTCCTTGCCACTTCATGTCTTCACATCAACTTTGATAACAGCCCGTACAGAAGAAGCCCAAGGACACTATCTAAACTGGAGATAACACTACAAAGAAACATCCTTCAACCAGTAATTCACTGAAGAACACTGACACTGTCTAGCTCCACCGGAACATGGCGAAACTTAGGGCACTTCCAAACAGTAGAAAAGAAAATTTCGACTAGAGTGGATCTACTGCCCGCTCGATGAACTACCTGCCAAAACTTCTTCTGGATTTCAATAACACCAGAGCCAAGCTGATCCAAATCATTTGCACAAATCCGCTACAAACTCACCTCAGATTTGCCCTTCCCGAGGGGCCTGTCAACCACATTCAAGTTCTGCTTCGCCCTGCCAACCCCTATCATTGCTCCTCAACCAGAAACCACACAAATCGTAACCAACTCCACTCTCTCCTCTCCTCTCCTATCCGCTCCGATCCGCTCAACTATCTACGTGAATCTACTCAAAATCCCGCAAGTGTCGATCGACAGCAACTCCCGCTATAACTAGCCAACGTCGCCGAAGTGCCATAAAGTTCTTGGTTTCCGACCAGGTCCTCTTTTCAGATCTTCTAGTATGAGGACATGAAACGATATCTGGTTTTAGGAGGAAAGTAGTTAAGCCAATGAGTACACTCCAAGTGGACAAATTGAGGTCTTAAGATGGTGTACCTATTTCGGGGTTATCGGCAATCTATTGGAATTTGTTTTCTTATTCGTTTCGAGGATGTTTTGTTGTGTTTTTGTCCGTGTTTTATTGGCACCGTTCGCCATAGCCCGTCGGTGAAAGCTTATAGCCCCTGCCGCCAGTCTCGCGTTTACGAGAGCGCCATTGTTGTGTCTGCCATGTTGGCCACCAGGTGTGGTAAGAGAGCTAGCTTTGGAGACGAGGATTGCACTGATGTCAGTTTTGATGAAGACTGTTTCGTCGAGATGAACTGAGAATGGGAGTTTGTTGGCCAGGACAGAGCCGGTGTTGGGAGGGCGGATTCGGAGGCGGAGGTAAAGAAAAGAGATGGATGAGGAGAGTGGGATGGAAGACGGGTACTGGATGGAAGAGTGAGAGTGGGAATGGTAGTGGTAGAGACTAAGCGGGAGGATTGGAGTAATTGTGGTGGTGGTATAGGGAAAGGGCGGAGGCTTGTCGGGAAGAGACATTTCAGGCGGAGGCAACCTTGGGATAGCCTGTTTCCCAAGAATGAAGCGGAGTTCCTGAGAAAGAGTGCAGTGCTGTCAAATGATGATTGTGTATGTGGTTTTTGACAGCAGGGTAGTTCACTCTCTCTTCGAGTGAGATTCTGTTGGCAATGAAGGGGTTAGGAAGAGAGGTGCAACTGAATAATGCACTCGAGGTTTTTAATTGGATGAGACCGAGGGCGAATATGCAGCTGGACAGTGCAACAGTTGCAGTCATGGTGAGGATTTTATGGCGTGAACTTACAGCTTTATCGCGATCATTTGAAAGCCAGAGGGGAGAAATATATTCATGAGATATCCTTTAGCTTATACTTTTCTTATTACTGCACTATCCCTGAACCGGAATCTATGGATATCCTGTGGTTTTTCGAGCAGATGAAAAATCGGGATCTGGTATTTAGAAGGGTAGGTGTGTGGGGGTAACATCTTCAAGCTTCTTGAAGAGATGAAGGTTCAAGGAATTCGACCAGATGTTAACAAATATGACACCGCAATTACTTCTTGCGCAAGTGGATCTTGATGTGAAGAAGCCAAGGAGCTGTTCCTTGAGATGACGGCGACAAATTGTACACTGGGTAAGAAAACTCACAATTCATGATTAGATGTATACGGGCAAGCAGGATCCACAACGAAGTTGTACATGCTCTCAATGAATTCCATAGTGTAAGTTGCCCTAGTAAAATTGTAACATGTGTATAACTTCACTCTGCACTTCGATTGGCTAGACTTTGCAGTGCAGCGGCAGAGATGAAAGATTCGATGCATGCCAGACCTAGCTACTTTCGATACCTTGATAGCTCTTCTTGCAAGAGAAGGTTAGTGTAAGCATACAGGGTTGGTACTGAATGAACCTGGAAAAAACAGTTACAGTCCAAACGACGTTGAATATGCCTCAATTCTGCATGCTTTTGCGATTGGTGTCCTCGCTAACTCACAATAATGTATTTTGATTACTGTTTCAATCATAAATGTACAAGATATAAAGCTCTGCTTTGGAGTGACGAATATTCCTCTTCACTATTCCAGCTAAGATAATATAAAATCTGCTACTAGAAAAGAATCCTCCTTTTATGAACAATACAAGCACACATATCTCAGAGCTCACGAGGAACAAAACCCCTTCACATCTGGGGACTCATGCTCTGTTCCATCGGGGGTGTCATGGGCATGTATGGCTGGTAATATGGGTAACGAGTGCGCCGTCGCAATTCCCGTCCCTCTTGACACAAAGCACAAGAATGACACACGAAGTGGGAGAATACATCACAGAATGTGTTGAACCCTTCCCTGCTCTCCTCATCACCTGACTCAGTGAAGCAGCAATCCCCGCTACCCTGCAACAGCAACATCAGCACAGAAGTGAGTTCCTCAGTAACAATTCACTTCCAACCTCGTAGCAACAACTCTATGTCATTCAGCCAACACTGAAATCTTAAGTAGCCCATACCTCCAAATTATACTTCCGGCGAAGTGCAACGCGTGATCCAACTGAGATACAAGGGGCTAGATTCAGGTTAAGTAAGTTGGCTCCCATGATGTAAAGGTAGCTGTACATCAGGCAGTGGTGCCTAGAAATACCTTCTTCTCCTGGATACAGACGCTCCATATTGCTGCCATACAGCACACATGGTGCAAAAGTTCCCATGACACCTGCACATCATCGTTGCACTTTCATTAGCGAAGAAGGACACTGTGCAAACGGACTGGTTGATTACTGTCCCATGTCCCATCGACTGAAATCTGGAATGATCACTGACGATGCGCACACTATTGTGTTTTCATTTTCTAAAATTGCAGTGGCAAAGCTCCAATGATAAACATTACTCCATTTTCGTAAACAAATAAGCATTGAAAGCTCCACAGAAGTCATATATGATATTAAGAAACAAAGTTGACGAATTAATTGTAGGCTTCATTAATGAAAGTTGCAACTATGAATATAACCACTCAAACCCTAAAAAATGATATGAAGTAAAAAATACGCCATTATGCCATTCCAACTTGTGCAGTTATCACACAGATTGTATAGTGAGGCATTACGTCAATGAAAAATATGGAGTAAAATACTTACAAACTTGAAGATCACTGGTAAAGTGCTCATCGAAACTTCCAAAGCAGCTCAAAAGGCTAGTAGACCAAGGGGAGCGGGGGACTGGAGCTCCTAGGACAGTTGAAGGAGGACCAACAGGTACCCCATCGACAACTGCGGGTTCATAATGGTCTAGTTTCGCATCCTTTGTCTCCGGTTCCTTCTCCCCCTCATAAAACTTGCATTCTGCAAGCAAAGCTTCTTGCTCTGCTAGAACCTGCTCCTCCACGGTGTTCATCTTCAACCCCTTGTATAACCTACAGAAATTGATGGAGACATGAGAATTTCAAATACAGAACAGCTCGAATTCAAATAACAATTGGAAGACCACGAAGTTTGAACCTGTCGCGACCTTGCAAATTCACACTGTTCTAGACAAAATCTCAACACCAAATTAATTTAATTAAGAAAACTACCAGAATAAGGTTCTTTCAGTTACATTTTCTAAGACAAGAACCCAGCCAAGCCACATGAGAAGGTTAGTCGAAAACAAAACTAGATCTGGAATTCCTCAGCAAGAATAACACTTGCTACCAAATATTGCAGCGAAATAACTTAATTCCCCAAATCCTTCAACGACAATGAAAGTACACACAAATGAAACACGGAACAAAGCGGCAACAGAACTGGATTATTTAGAAGAAGCCGAACCGGCTTGATGCACGTTCATCATCGCCGGCAGGAACCAGAACAAAGAAACGTGGTACGGACAAAAATTAAAAACAAAAAATCCGGAAAAAAACAAAGAGAGTACTCACCAGAACCAAACCCCACAAGATCAAAATCAGCAAAAGCTTAACTCTCGCGAAAAGGAAACAACGTCAGAACAATAAGAAAACGTAGGTGGAAGCCACGAAAAGTGGATCGATCGTGAGAGGGAGAATCACAACATAACCGCGAAGGAAGAATAATAGAAGAGACGTGCGCGGTTGAGACACGGGCAAGACAAAACTCACTCGTCTTGTCGGCGTGGTCGCGAACGCGCTTAACCAACTGGGCGGGTGGGCACCTCATGGATTAGGAAGCTTCCACCGGTGATCTTGCCCACCTTCTACCCGGTGACCCAATTACCAAATCAAAGTCCGAATATAGATACAGCTTCTGCCGGTTATCGTCTTCATCCGAAGGCGTCAAATTAGGTCAGCTTTCTGATTTCTTACTTTACGCGCATACCATATTTACGTGAGGCGTTGTCTTTTCGGGCTAACAAACAAAGCCGTTTTTAACTTCGTTTACTTTTCACATGGTAATTGTTAAGCCCTGAATTCCTAGTTTTTCCGTATCTAAGGGTGTTCAAGACATTTCTAATTCTAGCGACGAATCGTTATTACTGGAATATAGGGTGTCAGTCAGATATCTTCATCTACAGCGCTGCTTTTTGCCGTTGGTGCGTTCGCAGCAACATTGACATCCTTTTCCTGACATTAGGTCAGAATTTTAGTAGCAACTCTGGATCCTGGTTTGAGGTCGGGCTTGGGGTTTTGAGCTGAAGATTTAAGGTGCTAATTTAGATGACTACAACGTAATTGAGAATAAGAAGTTTGCAATGTAGGGCTTAGCTGAAGATTTATGGTTTTACATGTGTAGGTCCGGAGAAAATTCGGCCCTGTTAATGTTTAGGGTTTATCGATGTTTTGTGGTTAATGCGGGTTCTCCTGAGTTTTTGGAGCTGAATTTTCTTTTGGTGGAGTGTGCAGGCTCGTGTTTTGGTTGCATTGTTTCGATTGTCATGTGAGAGAGGTTGGAAGAATTTGAGATTTTGTCATGGACGTAACACAGACAGCCAGGCTGAGCACTTTCGCTTTGGTTAATCCTTGCAAAGAATATGGTCGTGTCGAATGCGTTTCTTCTCGGACCAAACTCTTCCACAGTGGGCCAGAAGAGGGTAGTGTGCTGAAAGCTGGTTGCAGGTAAAGGCCTCCTTCGTATTCAGCCTTTCTTCAGTCACTTCCGCACTTCTGTTCTGGATTTCATTACTTACACGTTACGATGCCCTGGATTTTTTCTCAGTTGCTACTCCTATGAGAGTTGGGAGAGTATTCTCTTGGACTAGTGGTAGTGGTAATTATGATTATATTTTCCATTGTAATCTCTGAGGGTTTTGGATTTTAGAGGACTTCTAAATCACGACACAATCCTTTCGCATGGAGTTGTGATTAACTTATCGTTTCACTGACGTGAATCTTCAGTATTTTGTTTCGCAATTCGTGCTTATCAGTGACATGGTTTACAACTCATGAAATACATTCCAGTGAAACTTCACAGTTCTCGGAACTGGCCTTTGTTTTAATTTTGACATTGTGATAGAGGCTGCAATAGGAAATTACATCTATGTCTAGTTCGTGAAGGGTTTCGCAAGAGGGTGTGTAATTGTAGGGGATCCAGCTAGTAGACTTCAGAATTGAGGTGGCCACTAGTAGCATACTGTGTGACCATTACTGTTTGGTAAATATAATAACGAGTGGTAAGATCTTTTGTGACTTATACAGAGGACGGAGTTGGTCGAGGAGATTAGACGATAAATGTGGGTTCTTGAAACGATCTACTGCTCTCCATGTGGCTAGGGCAGGTCCAAAACAAGATGGACCTTCAGGAGATGGTCTTTCCTCCTCGAAGCCTAGTGTTGAGAAGAATGGAAGTTCTTTTCATCCAGAGGTAAACAAAGCCCAGTTCGCAGTCCATAGCCTGCGTTGTCCGTAGTTGTATTGAGGCATTTTGTCATTAGATCAAATGCCTGTACAAGTCATTTTTTTCATTTCTCTATCATCACAAGATCATCTCATTGTTTGCCCTACAATGTGGTGTCTTTTCGATAGATTCTTTTATGTTTACCTTTTTGCATAGAGAGAATTTCCTTTTTATTTGTCGTAGGGCTGTAATAACGAGTCTCTGATTGGAGAGATTTTCTTTTGAGAAATTAGTCGTATTACGTTTTACATTGGAATGCCTTTTCTCCCAGGAAGTTAGTAGTGTAGATCTCGATAAGTCTGGAGGCACGAAGGGGGCTGTGAATCCACTGGTGACAACAGCTGGGGCATCGAATTCAAGTGGCAGTCGGGCAGGTCTGTTTCGAACACCTATCTCTGGTGGTGTGCAGAGTGCGACATCTTCACATGGGCTTCCTCATCCTGCAATTGCTGTACGCAATCTCATTGAACAGGTATGAGTGTTGATCAAACTTGTGATGAATATTAGTATCAGTGGATTAACGAACCTCAAGCGTCTGATATCACATTTAAATAAGTTTTGATGATTTTGCTTGCATTTGAGAAATACTTAAAATTGTTGTATAGTGCTTCTTGCACATAATTTTAGGCTTCATGTAAACAAGGAACGACTTTCTTTTCTTTTATTTTTCGGTTTTTACTAGCGTTTGCTGTAGAGATTGAGTTTTAACCTATTGATCATACAAGTCCTGGGAGGTTTCGGCAAGTTTAACCGAAAGCAATCAATGATGCAGGCTCGTTTCGCACATCTGTGTACAGTCATGTCACGTATGCACCATCGTCGGCGAGGTTATCCCTTTGGTTCACTGGTGGACTTTGCAACGGATAACCGTGGACGTACGGTTCAAACTCCCTCGTTATATCATGCTTAGAAGTGGAGGCTGAGCAACGCTCCTATTTTTTTTTTTTTTTTTTTTTTTTTTTTAACTCCAAAAGATTTCATTCAGAATAAGCTCTAAAATGCACATGTATCAACTCATTTAATTCACTGTTGTAGCAAATCCTGACTTCGTTATCTGTTTGTAACTCATGGTTTGCGTCTTCTTCTTTTTTTTCTACATTTAGTTTGTGCTTGTGAAGCTTGGGTTTTTTCTAAACTGTTCAACTTTTTTGGCAATTCTTCTCCAGATCCAATCTTCTCATTATCACCGTTAGCAATCCACACAAGAAATCTGCTAGCAGATCCAAGGTGCACTCTGGTAGTTCAGGTACATCACTTCAGCATTTCTCACAGTTTTATGCTTATCCTCCATTAATTCTGACCTTTGCTTTCCTTCAATTGTGGAAGGTGTATTGCTCGTTTGTGTACTAAATGTACTACAGAGCGACCAATCAGCTTCTTGCCTTCATACCACCGCAATGAAAATTTAAATGACAGATTGGTTCTCCATGAGTTACCTATCTGTCAGTTTCAACCTTTTTGATTGATTTCGGTTTCACAATTGCAAATGTTAGCAGATTCCAGGATGGAGTGGACTCGCAAATGCAAGGGTTACAATATTTGGAGATGTGTATCCTCTTCCTCCTGAACAGCAGGTGTGCGAATGTGCTAGCTCTATTACGCACAGATAAGTATGGATATTTCTTGTTAGAACACAGGTTAAAGCAATGATTGAGGTCAAAAACAACTCCCATATTTTAATCAATACTTATACGCAGGTCATGTGATATCGCAGACCTGTTTATTTGGTAGTTGTTATCCTTAGTGTTATTGGTTACAACGTCATGACTCATAAATCAAAGACTCCTAGATTTTCTGATAGCATTCGCTTAGCATGTTTTCGAAACAAAGAACTTCACAAACCAGCTTTAGCAGCATATTATAGAATTCGAGGTGTTGACTCAGGACTATCTCGCTTGCCCTTTGTTTCCTGCAAGATCCTCGTGCTTTAGGAGGGGAATATTTGAACTGGCCCCTGTCAATTTAATTGGCTGTACCTGATCAGAATGACATTCCGTGTCTTGCAGGAGCTTGCACATAAATATTACCGTGCAAAGCATCAGCAAGGAGCATCCCAACAGTGGAGTAATTTTACTTTTTATCGCATGGAAAACATAAGGTATTCTCGCTCTTGTCCAGTTATGTCGTCAGCGTGCAGTAGTCTAGGTCTGCTAGGTTTTCTGGATCCGTTGGGAAGGTTTTCTAACACAGGGAGATGAATTGAAAGAAATTTGACTTATGATGTGTTGGAGTGCAGTGATATCTACTTTGTGGGAGGATTTGGTACTGTCCAATGGGTAGATGTGGAGGAATACGACTTGGCTCGACCTGATCTTATTGCAGTCAATGGGGCAGAGAAAACATTACAGGTCTGCTATCTGGTCTTCCGGAACTCAACGTTTTTGTATTAAAGTTGGCTCTCGATACAGTTCACGATATGATAACAAAATAAATGGTTAGAATAATTCATGCCCCAGCTCCCGATTAAATTTAATGTTATATTCTTGGGTCTTGTCTGCTACTGCAGGAACTCAATTTAAGATTTTCAAAGAAGATTAGGGAGCTTTTAGCCGTAGAATCAGAGGTTGATGATGCTGCTTTGATTTCAATAGACAGCAAAGGTGTCGACGTTCGTGTCCGGCAAGGTGCACAGGTAATTGTTTTCCTCATCTAGCAATTGGCTTTAAAATATCTGGTGCAAGTCGTGTTGTTTTCAAACAGTATTTTTTCTTGGCCTATTTAAACACTATTTGAGCTACCCGCATGGCTTAGTCGTGTTTGTAGCTATTCCACACTATCGTAGCATTTATTGCATTTACTCATTACTGTGTTTTGATGCTAAATGTAGTTCAACGTAAGACGTATGTCATTTGACGAAGTTAAGGCTGTGGAGACTCTGGACCAAGCAATTGTGGCTCTGCAGAAGATTGTGGATAGAGGAGTGCGGTTTCTACACTGAAACATACCTCGTGGGAATGAATCGGCCATTTAGCTACATGAATGCCACCAGCAACGACAACTTCATGTTCTTGGAGCAGACTTATGTGCTATCATGTTATTTTTCTCAACCAGACATGTTGCTTGCGATTACTGCCTAGGTTTACATGTACATGAGTGACTACCTCCGACGTTTGGGCACATATTTCTAGCCAGCGTTGTTAACATCGCATTTTTTTCGCGATGTAAACCCCTGAACAGTTGATGAGATGTATGTCACGCCAACTACTTCTGCAAACAGTGAGCTCTCTAGATCTAGTGTGCAGCGTGAAGCTGAGGTTTATGCCTTTCCTAAGAATTAGTGGGACCTTGCGAGGAATAGCTTTTCATGGCTGAAAGGATTACAATCAAGTTTTGATGATTTTACTAGCTACTTTCATGTGTGCCAATTTTGTGCACTCAATCGCTGCATGCTTTCTTAGAGTATTCTACTTACTTTGGTAATTCATTTAGATGACGTATGGTCCGCTTGGCAATATTCAGAAATTGAATTTGTTAATTCTCAGCTGGTTTAGTGGGATCGTAGCTGTCTCATTAGGTTTCTCAAATCCACCATTGATTTGGGTTATTCAGTAAATAAAAAAACACATAATCTTAAAATGTTTTCTAAGAACTCAAATATCTACACATGTATTTTGATAGCTCTCTGTTTCATCAATAGAGAATTCATACATACCAACAAAAATTAAACTATTATAAGCAGCCTTTAAATCTTCAAAGTTCTGCAATCAAACAATTGCTTTCAATGTGGAAAAGAATTTTTTCATTAATGTATAGGTACATGAACACGCTTTAAGGGCAAGGGTTTGTTGGAGCTAAGTGGGCCATAGTAGTGTCAAAGAATTTTTTATTGTTGTTAAAATGTATTGTTCTTGTTCTATTGTTATAAAACCAAAAATTTAATGTGGAACTTCATTTGAAGACCCTATAGACTTGGAAAATATTTGTCTTGACTAAATAACTTTCCTTTTTCAATGTTTTATTCTTGATAATGTGTGTTGGTCACATAAGAAATAATGAGTTAGACAAAAGAATCAAACCAATATGCTTTGTTTTTGAAAATTGATTTTTTAAAAGTGTATGATAAAATCTTATAGAAATTTTTATTTAAAGCATTTGGTTTTAACAATACCTTCTGTCATATGAATAAAATATTCTTTAAGAATGCTAGTATAACAATCAACATTAATAGAATTCTTGCAAAATTTTTTGTGTTAGAAAGAAAGACAAGACAAAGGTGTCTATTAGCTCCATATCTATTTATTCTAGTAGGAGATATTTTAAACCACTATTCAAAAAGTTGTCACAAACAATGTAATCCAAGGAATTAACATCTTATGAAGTTTTAATCCATAAGTGATTAATAAACATGGAAATGATTTTTCAATTACAATCAAAGAATATAGTAATAATATAAATACTTTAATGAAGATTTTGAAACAATTTAGTGATTAGATTCTAGCTTAGAAATCAAATAGTCTAAATTATATTTTACTAAACTGAAAAAAAACTTCTACAAAAGAACTACATCCCTCCAAATACATCACAAAAGTGGAGCATGTTATGAGACCATATTTTTAATTTAGTTAGGGTGAGATTTGGGCTCAATGACATTCATATAAAGAGGCTATGTTTATTTGGCTCATATGGCATAAAGGTATGCAATCAATATATGGAAAGAAAAAGTCACTCCACTTATTAATATTGATTATAATATTTACTAGTTACATAAGTCTAAAGCTATTATAAAAAAACTTTAAAAAAGCCAAAAAATATAAAATATAAAATTTTCAATATGCATCATAATAATCTTGTTTTGAAAATAAATTGTGATCTAATAAGTAATAAAACTCTCTACCAAATCCTAAATTTTCTACTAAAATATAATTATTATTAATTTTCAAGGTTGTACATCTTACTATATACTTTAAGATAAAGATTTTCAGTGGATTGCTTTATAGCAAGGACATTATTTTTTATAAAATTTTTTATCACTAATTCTTTAGTATACTTAACAAAGTATTTTTTATTGATTTATATTATTTATTATTTTTATTGGTATAATTTGTTTATAATTATATTGTTCAACATCTCATATATTATATACTTGTATTCAACAATTTTGTTACTGAATTTATTTCCTTTTACTCTTTTACTACAGAAATGATGTTTGAATATGCTTTTGCAATAATCCAAAGATAATTATATTAAAATAGGCATCAAATAAAATATGTAGTATGTGATTTTAAAAAATACGAGGAGATTAATTACATGTTGACACAATGAACATTTAAGAATGTTATTTCTATTTTATATGTTTTCTTTCCTAAGATGTTTTTCACATAAAACACAATGAGATTTATTTTTTAATTATATTTAGTACTAAAATATACAACTAATTATAATCATTTAAGGTTTTCTTATTTTTATTTTAATATAATCTATCATGGTAGAAAATAAAAATAATCTTAAAAGTACTTCTTTTCAATACAAAATTTATTTTTAAAAAATGAAATAAGTATAATTTATTTTTTATTTAATTATATAACTAGCATTATAAATTAGTAAAAAAAATAAAGATGTTAAAAAACTTATTCCAAGTATAATTCAATTAATAGATAATTAAGAATGTATATAATAAACAATAAAAATAAAGTTCACAATAAATGAAGGGTGTTGGTAATGCCACCATAGTTTTTGCTACTACCACTATACCACACTATCCACTCAAGATATTTCTTTAGTTTTTTTTTTTCTATAAAAAAATCCCTCAATATTTTTGATATTTATTTTTTAAATTTATATATGAAGCAAATTTAATTTTTAATATAATAATCAAAATTTTAATAAGAATAAATTTAGTAGCAACAATAATCACTATGGTGGCATTTGCAATATCTTAAATAAAAAATAAAATACTTTAATTATTTTATGAATATATATATATATATATATATATATATATATATATATATAATATTTTTGCATATAAATTTTATAGTAATCACAAGAATTTATTTTTTTATATTAAAATCCTAATATATATATTTTATTTTATCATAACTATTTTGTGTATATTATTTTTAAATTAATTTATTACCTATATTTTGACTTAATATATGAAATTTAAATTTTATTTTTATATTTTAAAAATATATATAAATTTTAATTGTCTAAAAAATTTTATACAAAAAAATTAAACAAATTATCAATTGAATAGCATTTAATTGACTTTTGATTCAATACATGGCTTTAGCCAAATATAGATTGATTTAAAATATCATCTTGAAATTTTAAAAATTCACATATATATATATATATATATATATATAGAGAGAGAGAGAGAGAGAGAGAGAGAGAGAGAGAGAGAGAGCAAAGACTATAATGTACTAAATAATTTCTAAGTAAAATAAATTAATTTCTAATTTTAAAAATAATATTATTAATTATTTTTATTTATCTCTTTTAACATTTGGTGCATCATGTAATACATAGCTATATTCACTAGTATATTTACTTAAATACATAGAGCTAAGTAGAAGTAAGTAGAAGTAGGCTAAATTATTGATATCTTGTTAGAAAGCTTTTTAGAAGCTTTATAGACTTTACACCTATTTATAAGTAATTAATAATTTGACAATTTAGCCAATAAGTTGGTCACATATCAAAAACATATCCTAAAAATTAGACACATGTCTTACAAGTTGGACATGAGTCATATAGCTTATAGGAAATTGCCACATAATTATTTAATGGATAGTATATATAGAGGCAAGAATGAGCCTTCTTCACTCTAATCAATGTCTTTCTTGTATACTATCTTAGTTTAAGACTTCCTAGTCTTTTTGCATTTGGTAATAGCCATTCTAATTTCAATTCTATATCTATCTTTTAGTTGTTTACTTTCTCTCTTCTGGTTATATAAAATTGTATTATTATTTTTAGAATTTTTTTGTGGTTCATGTCCTTGATATATCAAGCATTTGAATTAATATTTGTGATTTGTGATATTATTTTGTCATGTAATATTTCATCTTTGCCAAATTATTTGTGTTGGTATAAAAAACCAAATTCGACAAAGCAAAGAAGATATATATGAATCTATTTTTGTAATGCATAATGATACTTTTGTTAGCATTATGTATCAAAATATTACTTAAACCACCTTCTTTACAAAATCACACCAATTCTTTTAAAATCTCTATTGCAATAATATACACCAATTATAAAATGTGCCTAAAGAGAATTTAAAAACTATTGGAATAATGTACTAAAATCCTTGTTAGAAATACTTTTGTACCTAAGCAAATGATCTAACATGAGCATGGAAAGAAGACAAAAACATTACTTGGTTATATTTATATAGATGAAACAATCTTCTCCATACCAAATATTATAGATTTAGTCAAATTCTTATGGTCGATTCCCTTATATATTTGCAAATACATTATGGCGCTTAAAACATACAAATGCATGTGAATTCACAAAAATAGCACAAAAATAGCTTAATAACTTGTTTAAGTACAATATTTATAAAACAATGCAATATAATATTTGTTGAGACATACAATTTTAATGCCTAATTTTATTATTTTACTTTTAGAGAAAAAACATTTTGATTTAGACTTTTCTAATAATCTTTAATTATCTAACAAATTAGCTACAATACAAAAATTCTAAATGTCACTACCATAACCATCATCTTAATATGAATATTTTAACAAACAACTCAATTTCTTGAATTAAAAAAAAAAAAAAAAAAAAAAAAAAAAAACTATATATTTATATATATATATCCAACTAGTAAGTATACCAAAACCTTTACAATTCTTTTCCAGGTTTTAAAATAAAATAAAATTTTAACAAGCGTTTAATTTTGTAATATATATATATATATATATATATATATATATAACTCTTACCATTGTCGTAACAAATGTCGTCCACAATCCAATTTGAAAAAAAATAAAAATTGCGCACATTACTATACGATGGTTGATTAATCAAATTCATAATAATTAAATAAATTTACGTACACAACAACAACAGAATATATCAACAATATTACAATAATCACACTACCTTCACACTGCACATATGAGAACAAAGGTTTGTCGGTACCGACGTCGCTTACGTTTTCGGCGTCGCGACGCAGCTTTTGCAACATCCGGAAAGCAACTAATCGATCGATCCACGGATCGAAAGTGTGCGTGGGTTCTGATTCTGATATCCCGATCGGCAGTTGTAGTAGCCACCAAGCCTGTGGTGGATTCCCATATCTCTCATCTACGCCGAGATCGAAACACAAGTCATGCTGAAATCGCCGAAGTCGTGTCTGCTTGGCTTACGTCTATTCTATGTTTAGGGTTTGATCAGATTCTAGCTTTCAAGAACAGGTGGATCTAGTTATTTCTGAAGGTGGGCACGACTCGAATCTGGCCCATTACCAGAGAATTTGTCACTCTGGGTTGCTTGATTTGGTTTCTTGTTGAATTGGGGTCGAATCAATGGGGTGCTGCCAGGCCAAACCTGGCGGATTGAGCAAAGACGACCGAGCTACCCGATGGCGAAGCACTGGCATTGTTGCTCTTCGCGATTCTAAGCTCAAGGTACCCAATTTCTCCTTTTTTTATCTATTTATTTTTCTCGACCTGCGATTGTGAGAATGGGTGGTTTGGGAGCTCTTACCTTTTGAAAAGGTTCCGCGATTCAGAATTGTGACCAGGGTGTTGAATTTTAGCTCTGAGGTATGATCGGATGTTGTTTGGTTTTGTAGGAGCTGCCTGTGGACGTGGTTAGCATCGCTGCTTCTGTGCGGACGTTGGATGCTACTCACAACAAATTGGGTTGGTTTGTTCTTCCAATTGTTCTTCGTTCTGAGATTTTACTGAAAGTTTGTGGTATTTGTGAAGCTGTGCATTAACAAACATGGAATTGCATCTCGAAGCCTTCTCGTCGCTGCGTCGGGTTCCACCTATCTCGTGTTACTAGGTTGTTATAAAGCTTTCTGCTGTTATGTATGACAGGTTCTATTCCAGAGGAGATTGAGAATTTTGTCAACCTTCAAAGATTGGTAAGACTTCCTTTCCTGTCAAATATATTTGCAGAGGGGGATTATCTAGATTGCCATGTAACATTTGGGGTTGCTGTATCATGTTGTTCCTCAGTGTTTTTGAATATTCTTTAAAACAAATTGATTTGCTTCCAGCATAAGTTGTGGTGTACACTTTCCTCTTATATGGATATGTATAGATTTTGGTGGAGAATTTGTTGGAGAGGTTGCCGTTGACAGTCGGTAAACTTCGATCGCTCAAAGTTCTGTTACTTGATTCAAACCGCCTTAGCCTGCTTCCGGAAGAAGGTCATATCCTAAAATTGTTGCATCTTTTTCGTCTTATTTTGACTGTTTCATCTTGTATGCCGTATAGTTTGAATACACGACTAAATGATGTTTTCTTAGGGGAACCATGAAAGAAGCCATGTTTCATTTTGTAAGCTATAGGAATTTGCTTTAACATGCTTTTCTTTTTCTTTTTCTTTTACAAGTTATGCCCTTAACCTCAGCACCATGTGCGCAGTCGGACTACTACAGCGGCTCGAGCGTTTTTCAGTATCTGGCAACAACCTGAAGTCGTTGCCCTCCACCATCGGAAACCTCTCCAATGTACAGTTCAAACATCATATCTTATTCCTAAAATCCTGCATTGTATTTTCGTGGTAGTTTCAGACGTTGTGGATTGTGGTACGTCCAAACTGAACCCTTTAATATCCTCCAGCACAATACCTGGTGTTGCATATGCGCTTCTCAGGAGCTCGGCAGGGTCGTTCTGCAGGTGTTTTTGGCGTGGGCCATCGTTGATGCCTAGAATTTCGGCAGGAAATGACGGATTCATTAAGGTTCTGTATCGTCATCGTTATCGTTTCGGTATCTAATCTTCTTGGTTTCTTTGGCCCCAGCTGATACAGTTGGATGTGAGCAAAAACAGCCTGGAAACACTTCCTGAGTCCATTGGCAACTGCAAGTCTTTAGAAGAACTTATTGCGAACGGTACATCACAAAACCCCCCTAGGACGTGACAATCCCATTAGAACTTCTGTGTGTCATAAAATGCTCTGTAGAAAAGTTCTCGTAGTTCACAATTATGACGTCTGTGAGAACCAGAATCTGACAATATTCTATTGTGCCAGATAACATGCTGCAGGAGCTGCCAGACCCTTTGGGCAGCTTATCGCATTTGAAAACTCTCATTTTGAGTAACCAAAAATTAAAGCAGGTTTCTTCTCGTCTTAACCTTTCAATGCCAGCTTGGGTCCATGTGAAACTATTGCATATTGATGTTTCAGAATTCTATACAAATCTTGAAGTTAATATTCGACTGTGACTTAAACAGCTTCCTCCGTTTCTACTTCGAGACTGCACAGCTCTCCAAACCCTGATGCTGCATGATACACTCATACCTGCTGATCAATTGCATCAGGTCAGTAACTCCCTATCTAGTTCAAAGTTTTAGAACACTTAGTTATGTATTATTCACGCAGACTGTCGGGCATTACCACTGGATTACAAATGAAAAGTTCGGGTGATTATTGAGGTTTACTCAAAATGGTTACTCAAAATATAGAAGCTCCCAAACTTTTCAGCACTTTTTGCATGTCCATGTGGGATTCTTCATGGCTTTGACGAACCGTGCCTTCGATGTGTGTGGTGCCATGTCCTCTGAAGATGGAAGGCTTTGAAGGGTACGAGCAGAGAAGGAGACGGAAGTATGACAAGCAAATTGATGCCAATGTAATTCTAGACTCTCGTGGTTTTGACGAAGGAGTGGATATTCCTTCTGGAGCCAAGTGATTTCAATTTCTTCATTTGAAGAAAAATTACATTACTTTCGAGAGAGAAATGCTGAATAGAAGAGAAAGCAGGTATTCTGTGGTAAAATTTGTTACCTACTGAATGGAACAGTTCGCCGATGTTTTCCTCACTGGTCATGCTTTTGAGTTTCCTCCCTTTTGAGCAAGTAGAGAGGTTGGAAACAAATTTTTGTAATAAGGGAGAGACTGTACTTCGCGAAGAGGAAGTCCTTGCGTTAGCTTGTTCTTTGCTCAACTCGAGCATAATACTGAGACCGGTTAAGCAGTACCACAATTTGCAGCAGTCATCTATGTACTAAGTTTTTAATGCCACTCTTTAGTTTTATCCTCTTTACTGGTGTTTCATTCCCCACCTTTGCATGAATTCAATTTCCACGTACTTCACTGGTACGCTGCAAACCATTACACGATGTCCACTTCTGAACTATCCTTGGTTACTCTCATCTTCTACTTTACAGTTCCATGCATTAAATATAATTTTCAGTCCAAGTCCACTTCAGTTGTGGTTTGCAACGGCTATCACTCATTTCTCCACCTTTATCACAGCAAGTATTATTGTTTCATCACCTTCTCAAGTATGGATCTGATTCAGGTTTTGATAAACCGCGGTCTGCATTATTGAGGAAGAAATGATCGAATCCACTCCGAGGGCTGCAAATTTCAAAGGTGGGCAGGGTGATGACCAGGTCTTGACCAACACAGTGTCTCACAAGCCGGGCAGCTAAACTTGAAACAATTTAAGGTTTGTTTCGTACGTCTACATGTATAAAGATGACTGCCGTGTACAGTTACGTTAACGTTTGCATGCGCTGCATGTAAATATGCGTGTCTGTTGCCGAGTTTTTTCACATGGACCCTAACTTTTCGGCTGCATTGCCAATAGAGGCAGCGAGCTCAGACGCAGATCAGGGAGCGGCAGCGATGGCGACAAGAGCCGGATCATTGTCAAGTTTCGCGGTGCGCCGGTTGTTGGAAAGAAAGGGTCATGTGGGTTCTGTGCCGACACGGGGCTGGTCTGTGGCACTGGAGCGCAAGGACCTTACGCCGTTTGGGGCTCGTTGCGTGTCCAACCAGATTGTGCGAGCCCGCATGAAATCAGTGAACAACATCAAGAAGATTACCATGGCAATGAAGATGGTGGCAGCGTCCAAGCTCTGGACGATGCAGGTCAAGGCTGAGAAGTCGCGCGGCATGTGGCAGCCATTCACAGCGCTCCTCGGCGACGAGCCGTCGATCACTTCCCCGAAGAAGCTGGTGGTCGTGTTGGCCTCTGACAAGGGTCTGTGCGGCGGCATCAACTCCACGTCGGCGAAATACTCCCGAACATTGTTCAAGATGAACAAATTGGCGGCGGAGTCGAACGAGACCAAGTTCGTGCTGATCGGGGATAAGGGCAAGGCGCAGTTACAGCGGGAGTACAGCAATCATTTCTCATCTTTCTTCACGGAGACGCAGAAAGAGGGCATCAGCTTCACGCAGTGCGCCATGATTTCGGATGCGATCCTCAAGGACAACAAATACGACGCCCTTCACTTGGTGTTCAACAAGTTCGAGTCGGCTGTGTCCTTTATGCCCACCGTCGCCACCATCCTGTCCACGGCCACGCTCGAAACTGAAGAAGGACAGAAAGTTTGCAACCTGAACTCGTATGAATTCGAGGGAGACGAAATCCCTAGCGACATGCTCATGAATTTGGCGGAGTTTCAAATGGCGTCGGTGATTTACAATGCCATGCTGGAGAATGCCACGAGTGAGTTGGGTGCTCGTATGTCGGCCATGGACAACTCCACTCGTAACGCTGGTGATGTGCTTTCTCGACTCACGCTCAGTTACAACAGATCACGGCAGACCGCCATCACCACCGAGCTCATCGAGATTATCTCCGGAGCCGCTGCTTTGGAAGGCTAACTCAGCGAGAGTGAGCGAAAGAGAGTGAGCATCCTTCACGTCGTTGGCTGCAATCAGTGTGGTTTATGGCAAGAATCGGCAACTCACCCCTATTTTCGGCAACAAGATCAGAGGTTTTTATCATGTTGTTCTTTCATTTTACAGTTTTCAGGTAGAATCAGTCAGGTCTGAGAGCTGTCGCGTGGCACTGTGATCTCATTAGCAGCACAATAGAAAAAAAAAATTACCTGTTGCTTTTGACAGATAGCTCGACGGCCTGGATTTGCTCTGTTGGGTCATTTGTTCTTGCAAGCTGAACCCATGAACAAGGTGAACCCCTTCTACGGGGTTGCTATCCTTCTGTGTCGATGGAACTGATGTTTTCTAATCTGGTTGTGCATAGAGTCACGCCTCAGCGTTTCCACTTGAAGCTGTAGTTTCAGCCGCTTTTTCAGATCAGATGTTTGTTGATGCTACACTAACAACACTCGAGAATCACTGTGAAGGAGATGTGATCTACTGTCACAGCTCGAAAACTGCAAGAATGTCGAGCCAAGCTGTCTTCACCGACACTTTTGTGCTTCGTTTTTGCCACGTTGAGTGTGAGCATTGCCTTATCACATGTGTGTTTTTGCGCTCCTATTTTTCTTTTTTTACTTCTTCTGCTTCTACTTCTTCTGCTGCTGCTGCTTCTACTTCTTTTACTCGGCACCTGCTATTCCTGGATAAAGCTGAGCATGCGCTATCACAGCAGCTTTTCTACTCTGATTTTTGATGGCCCAGTGGAGTCAAGTTTGTTTGTTCCAACTTCGGTGCTTTACTGAGGTGTTTTACAGAATCGAAACCTCGTAATGCAATGCATAGATTCATGAAACAAATCGATTCTTACTTGGGTTTTGGTATCACTAAGCAAGCTTCGAAGAAGTTTTTTTAAATTAAAAAATCAACAATTTGATTTCTTATCTAAAATTGTAACATATTTCTAAATGCTTGTATCAAAAGTTACTAGAAGCTTTTATAAGGTTTTACAAAGTTGTAGCAGGTTTTCAACTTATTCAAATTCATTGTTTGTAACATCATTTTTTTAGCAACTGGTTTTTAGAAAAATCATGTTTATGAAAACTTGTACTTTTAGAATATTAAGAAGAGATGTATAGTGGTACTGTAGATTAAAGCAACAAAAACTTTGTTTAACAAAAATTTAAAATATAGATAATATCAATTGAATTCTCAATATGTACATATATATACAAAAAAGTAACTTTCTTTTAATTTTTTTTAGTAACTAAGGTTGTAACTAAAATATGCTACAATAATAAACTGAATTCTCTCAAAAATGTCAAACATAACAGTATTATTATAGATGTTATTAAAAAAAGAAAAATTTACGTTTTTAACTTTTTAATCAGTCGAGTGTTCCTTGATGATTGCTACTTAATCCATCCATTTGAATAAAAAATCAAATAATATTATATAAAAGTATGTAGTGGCAAGGTAGCAACATAGCATTTTTTAAATTACTAAAAATTACTAAAAATACATTCTCAAAAAGCTATATATAAAAGCCATAAAAAAATCTGTAAAAAATCTTTAATAAAATTATGTCGAAAACTGTTCATTGAGTTACATTGTAAATTTTAAAAAAATGTAAAATTTATTTCAGACTTTTTGTATTAAATTTAACACATAAGGTGTAAAACTAAAACGTTAATTTATGTTAAACATATGACACCTATGGACGTTCTCTAAAAAATATGAGTGATTACAAAATCATGAATTTTGATTTCATATTACTAATACACTTAAACACAAGTAAATCACCCATAATCACATAAAATCACAAGTTATTTTGAAATTGGTGAAACAACTTCAAATCTTTTTATTATAAGACTAGTGGAAACTTGTGCCATTGGGCAAAACTTGTGCCACTGTGCAATTAGCTGAAAGTTGTTTACAAATAATAAACTTGAGGTCTTTCTATTGGTTATGTAAGATTTTATGCTGGTTAACAATTTCTTTGATTTTAGCCAATGAGAAGGCTTCTTTATCTCTTTGTCTTATATTTATATATAAATTTCCTTATTATATAGATAGTGGGATTTTTTTATTTATTTATTTATTTTTATTTCTGCTATAACCATCATTCCCAAAGTGAAAATTTGATTGATTTTTCACATTTTCTTTATCCAAATTTTAGTGGCAAACCACGCGAGTTCGAAACTTCGAAGCATGGTTCTCGGTTTCGGTTGGTTGAGAGAGTCCCATCACCATCGCTTGAGCCTCGACGTTTGGCTTCATCGCGGCGCTTTGCGCTGATCTCAACCATCGCGATGCGTCGTAACCGAATGCAACACTCTCCATCTCCCGGAGCTCTAGGATTTCTGGGGCTTTCTATCAATGTATTACACCAGGCTACACAATCTCCGCCTCCTCCCCCTCCTCCGCTACTTCCCCATCTGTCTAGTCGTTGTATCTGGAGGACTTCCTCGTGGAAGCTCAGCGTCGCAAATACTTTCGCTGCGCTGTGCTCTGGCAATCTCTCGCTGTTGGTTACTCGTGTGTATTCTTCATTTCAACCTTGCCTTGCAGTCGATTCTACTTGGTTAGGGAGAATTCGTTGGACGTCGACCAGGGCCAGAGTTGCAGTTCAAGAGAGTGGGAAATTTGTAAGGAAGGTTTAAGTTGTTGGGTTCTTGGGAAATTGTGTTTAGAGCTGCACATCCGGTATAGGTGTGAGTGAAATTTTTGCTTTAGATCCTACATTGATGTAGTTGCGTTTGACGAGAAGTTGTGTTGTGATTTTCTGCAATGGATGGAGGGAAATCATGCAGACCTAGCTATCAGACTGATGACCTGCTTGAGGTTCGAGTAGTAGTTCGAAATAACAGTAGCTCTAAACCTTTTGGGTGAACTAAAAGTCCTCCACGCCATAGCCACGAAATTAGCCATATTGTTTGCGTTACGATTTCGACTGTTGGTGCATGAGAAACTTTGAAAATTTTGAAACCGATAGGAGTGAAGTTGGCCCTTGAGGTAATCTTTGAATCTTTCAATTGGCAGGCAGACGCTGTGAATGGCACGTTGAGAGAAATGAAGCGTTAGCAGCTGGGAAACTGTTACATAAAACAGATCACATCAGACCTAAAAATTACGCCTCGGAGTGCTGTGAACTAATTCCAGCAATGGATGACAATTTTCCTTCGAAATTCTAGAGTCAGTGGAGATGAAGCGATTCAATTCATTAATTTTCATACCAATTAGCTGCAGTCAATTTCGTTTTCCAAGATAATTATGGTATAGATCTCATCCTTCATTCCCGAGATGCTGATTCGTAGTGCCTTGATGTGGAACCATATGCAGTGCGAAGAGTTTGCCCGAGCTGGCTATGGCCTTACCATGGCTTGAACTGGTCATAGCGTTTCTACAAGGGTGTAACTGAAAAGGTTCCAAAGGAGATGGGTCCCAAAAAGAAAGGGAAGGGGAAGAAAGCAAAAGGAAAAAAACGGAAGCCTGACCCTGGTTGGGCGAAGGTATGGGACATTCCGACTGCATGCTTTATCTGAGCTTGTCAGCTGGATTTTATTCTCAAAGATCTAAAGGGTAGCTGCTGCTATTTATGAGTGCTGATATAACTATGTGCTCAACTCAGTAACCATTCCCTCAATCCTGTTCTTTTCAGTAATCCTTGATCGTATATTAATCACGTTGGTGGTTGACAACAGACTGTACGGTGGGGAACTTGGAGTAGACCATATGAGTCGATGCCAAGTTCCGCGTTATCGCCAAAGTTTGGTGTCATTCGAATAGAATTTCTTGCAGCTGTCAAAGAGGTCTGGCAAATCTTGCTACATATTTTTGCTACCGTTTCTTATGTGTACAAGAGCAAATATAAGCACCGAACTCTTCTGCAAGCAGCCGTGTCTCTAATCCCCAAGTGCCTGCAGTTAGACATGATATGGAGCAAGACTCTTGCAGAGGATTTCTTAAAAGAGCTATTTAGCATCCCACGACCTAACCTGGTCAGTGCCCCTAATGGTATGCTCGTGTGTAATGACATATTTTTGTTTGTGATTTACTGTTTCTCTTGAGAACGCTATTTTGTTTGACCAAGTATTCTAGAAAAGCCATTTTCTGCAATGAATAGTCTAACCCTCTCTTTGGTTGGAAAATATCATTTAAAAGTCATAGGACATCTAACTTGGTTCAAGAACGGGTTCCAGGAATTTTTCTGTATACGAGGAGCTTATCTCTTAAAGAGATTTGTGTTATCACCATATGAGATTCTCACGGGATTGAAACGTCTCGACATTGGTTGCATGGATGCTCTAGAGTTTGTCCTAATACAGGTACTGCTCTTTGCACGAATAGTTTTCGAATTTTCAGAATAACTATTGAACCTGATGTTTCCAACTTCATCTACCGCACAAGTGTGTGAACAATGGTTTACTGTGTCGGGTTTCTCATGTCTTATCAGATGTATTTGTGGGACAGTGCACATCGCTGGAGTGGCTATCTCTAAGTCGCTCAAAATCCCTCACGAAGGCATTGATAGAAGCTCGCAATTTACAGAGCCTTGTTATTGACAATTGCCTCGAGCTATCCAGCCTTATGGTATGGAGTCAACAGCTCACAACTCTGACAGGATTGTACGATTCGAAAAAGCTACAAGTCCTCTTCCTTGATTGCCCCACCCTTGTCAATTACGAGAGACCAGTGCTCTATGTGAGTTGGTCTACTTTTACTCACCATTACTTGAAAATTCTCTGGCTAGGCTCTTCCTGAACTGAGACTTTGAACCCAGTCATGGTCGCCTGTTTGACTATTGAAGACTGAACTCTTCAGCATTCCCTCCTCCGCCTTTCTCAGTTCTGGATGATGCACACCATGAATCGTCTTCTGGAATGAATGCAGGTAGTACCAAAGCCCAAAGTACTTCACCCTTCCTTGCTGCAGTTGCGAAAATGGGAGGATAAACAAGCAGATAAACCCGAACTTGAATTCGGGCTGTTGCCGAAGGACCTTGTGGTTGATGACGATGCTTTGAGTGATGATACACTCTACCCCAACGTTCCTTGCTTCCCTCGAACCCACCTGCAAGGTTTCTAGACCAGGTACAAGCTTCTTGGTCTAAATTAAATTTGGCCAGGTGCAGTTGCAACAATGGTTGCATGTATGTAGAGGAAGCAGTATTTGGAGACATTTCAGAGTTGACGATGAAGGAACAACTCTAATCATGAAATCCTTGTTCAGAGCTTCAAAGCTGCCTTAGTTCTTCGGAAGTAGTACCACTGGGCAAGGACATGCTTTACATTCACCTAGTGAAACTGGTTTTACTGCATTCAATCATCTGACACAGCTAAAGGGATGATAGTGTTTTTGAGTGACAGGTTCATTTTTATTTTTCTGCTTTTTTTGTCTGATATGTTTTTCTTTGTTTTTCTTTGTTTGTTTGTTTTTTGTTTTGTTTTGTTTTGTTTTTTCTTTTATTTTGTTTTTGTTTTTTGCTTTTTTGTTTTTCCTCGTATTTCTTCTGTGTGGAACAATAGATCATAATCTTGGTATAGTAGCTCTCAGAGATGCTGTGATTCGTCTTGATAGCATACACAGGTGTAAAAATATTGTGCACAAGACTTGGCATTGACATCACCCTAGCCAATCCTCAAAGGATGCCCTCCAATACTTCGAATTTGCAGGAAGAATTTTCCAGTATTCTCATGAGAATATTATCTTTTCTCAATGATGACCCTTTTGCAAATGTGTTTTTACACATGTTAATTTAATATGTGATAATTAATGTATTTTTTGTACAAAGAAATATATAGTATTATTTCTTTTAAGTTACCTTTCAGTATGTTATAACCGGTGATAAGTTTTGATAAATTGAACTGACTTGGTTACACTATAGTGAAGTTATAATTCTCATAAGTTATCAGTTATGGCCAAGGAGGGAAAAACTAGAAGGCTATAACTTTGAAGAGGGTGTAAATAGTAGAGAATTTAGCTTAGCGAAGAATCTAACATGGTCTATTCAAGGACTTTTGTATACAACTTCTTTTGAATGTTGCAAAGAGTCTTGTAGATAGTTTCTTTACCTACATCTCCAATGTCCAACATGGAAATAACCACAAAAAGGCTCTATAGCTTTTCCTTGCATATAAATAACGCTAGTACACAGTCTTCTTTGAAGGTGTTGTTAATACCTTCACCTCCTTCTGCTTATTGATGACAGACAAACTCAACAATTTTGCAATCACCAAGCTCAATATGTGCACCATTTTCTTTGATTGTCTATCAACTTTGGATGTCTACTCAAACAATCTAAAATGTTGGAAACAATTTTATATTATTTTTGGAGATAGTTTTGCCTAAGCTATAAGTGACTACCACAATTGTATCTTAATCTCATTTTGATTGTCCACATATGGAAGCATTGATAGTGTTGCTTGAATGCTGCAATGATTCCAACATCTATTGGTTGGATCTTTGAAGTTACATTTGGAAAAAGCACACAAATATCCATTTTTGGAGAAATTTGGTCATTTATAATATACAATAGTGCATTGTCTACAAGGAGCAAGATCCACCCGCGTGCCCTTCCCATCTCTTTGTCAAGATTTTTGAACCTTCGTAGGAAAAAAAACCTTGGTCATCTATGCTTTCTTATTGGATTGATAATAATAAAAAAAAAAAAAAAAAAAAAAAAAACTATTTGTTTGCTTGTGCAACAATTGAAGCAGCAGAGCTTTTAGGCATGGCTGATAAAAAATCAATGGCAATTTGTGGGTTCCGTTGGCATTGGCTTTGAATACAATGGTGATCCCTGCGATTTCCTTCTTATAGCCAACAATTTTTTGTTGAGCAATGGTTTGAATTTCTATAGAATTTTTCTAATAGCAACTTGTGAGAGTGCTTTTGCAAACTTAAACTCGATTTTGGTCCACTCTACAAGAGCCCTCTATGAGATCAAAAGTTTTGCATCCCTATACTTGTAGATCAACAGTCATTGGACATTTGTAAAGCACAACATTATATGGAGTATGCAAGTGTTGGTCATATAGGAGGAAAAGCACTAGGCTAGCAACAAGTGGACACTTGAGCAGATTCATGATTTTGGCTAAACCTAGTAAGTTTTAACCTCCTATAGGTTATGTTTCGAGAGATGAACTAATCCTAAAACTTACAAGAGGTAATATTATATTTGATTTCGAACTAATAGCAAATGAGATGATTATTACATTTACAATAAAATTGATTGATCTTGTAATGAATTTATTGATATTATAATACTTTAAAAATAATAACTATCCATTAGAAATACTTATGTAATAAAGTTAAAGTTTTAGATTTTATTTTAATTATATATTAATTAAATTACTTAAAACATAAAATAATATTTAACAAAACATAAACATATATAAATATTTTTTGAATTATTATATAATAAATGGTTTTTAATATAATTTTTTAACTTAATTATTTATATTTTATTTAAATAAAATTTATATTTTATGATACAGAGTATGTATTAAAAAAAATTATATATATACTTATAATTGATATATAAAATTTGTCTCATCTTTAAATTCCTTTGTGTGTCTACAACCACTTACTCATTGTAGTCACTTAATTTGCCTTTATTGTAGTAATTATTACAATGTTCAATTTCTTTCAAGTACAATGCAATTAAAATTTACATATTAATTTTTTTTTTGGAAGTATATGTAATTTAGTGATTTTAAAAAAAAATCTAAAGGTAAAAATTTGCTAGTTCCTTGCTTTTAATATGAAAAGAAGAAAATATTAAAAAAAATTAAAAGAAATAAATAAAAAGGTGAAAAAGAGAAAGATAATTTGAATAATGAAAATTTTATGTATTTTTTTTTTTTTTTTTATTAAAAATCTTACAATAGTATCTTAGGTTAGCAACAAATAAGCCAAATTTCAATAATTTTTTAAACCAAATCAAATAATTCAAAGATATTTTTTAAATATTAAAAATATATATATATTTTTAAATATTTTTTTTATTATTGTAGGTAAATTTGAGTTTTATTTTATTTTAAAAAAAATTACAAAATTCATTGAGAGCAATTTTAGTACTTTTTAAGTATTTTAAAAACAATGTTTATATTTATTGCTTCTTTATACATTGAATACAAAGTGTAAATAAATAAAATAACAAAAAAATACGGATTATTAATTTTTGATGATTTCCTTGATATCAATATCCAATGATATAAACTTGCATATATTTAATTTTAAAAAAAATATTTATGCAGGTTTCATGAATAAATATATATATATATATATATATGAGATGAATAAAAGATATATATATATATATATATATATTTCTATGTTCTGAATATCTGTCTACCCAATGGACGTTATCAAGAGTATCATTCAAGTAGACAATAATTAGAACCCCCAAGTACAAAGGCACCAATGCTCCGCTTAGAAAGACTTTTGCTGCCAAAGGAGTGAAAGGACTCTATTTAGGGTTTGATCCAACAATGACATGAAGTGTTCTTGCAAATGCAGATTGCTGTCTGGCATATGAGTCAACAAGAAAAGCTCTTTGTTAATTTATTTTTTTCAATTAATCTTCTTCATTTGGATGTTCATCAGGTTTTCCTAATATAAAACTAGGGTTTATAATTGATTTTTATGCTTAGTCTAAATATCTTCACCTAATATATGTCTCGTATCTTATCTAAGTTGATTGTATTGTGAATTTGCTTGCTGCTTTTTGTAGTAACTTATGCTTTGAAACTTTGAAATTAAACTTTAGGGTTTGAATTACAGTTTTGAACACAAGAGATTATTTTCTAATGTCTACCTTGGTATCCTTTTTCTACTAAAAGTAGACCTTTGATAAACTTTGGAAAAGTTTACTCAATCCATTGGTTATAGGATATTCTAAAGCTTTAGGAACATTATGTAAATGAAATTTTGATTACAGTCTTGTCTTTGGTTGTATCACATAGTTGTACATATGTAAATAACTTTGATGTTGGACATAATTGCATTGAATAAAAACATTTATATCTTTTGCTTGTCATGTAGAAATATTAAGGTCATTATTTAGGACTTAATATTTTATATTATATTTAATTGTATGATGTTGCATATCATGAATATTATTGCTAAAATAAATATATTTTAATAGACTTGGAAATTTTGAGCAAAATAATCCTAACAATGATTACCAATGATCAATCCTAAAATCAATTTTTATGCATCAACCATGACAAGAATTCATGTGGAAATGAAGCTTTTAAAAAAACACACACATACAAAGATAAAAATACGAAATTCATTGGTTTGGGAAACTCTTCACTTCCCATGCATCCACAAATACCACCTAAGAGGGGGCATTTCCTCACACCAAAATGACCATAACAAGTTTAAATATATTTGTATTGATAAATTTGTTAATTTAGCATTGGCTGTAGGTTTTATTTAAATTTAATCTATCAACCAAAATATCATACACACACCTAAATTTATCAATACAAATGTCAAGGTCACTATTGCCAAGAATGCAAGGCATATGTGAGTCCACCTCCTCCCAATCAAACTACCTTCAATTTTAACAAAAAGATGGGGGACGGGGTTTAATCAGCTCTACATGAATCCCCTTTAAAACAAAAGCCTCGCTATAAAGTGGGCCGGGTGAATGGAAATACCAAGGAAACCTCACCCGGCCCACTCTTGCCTGTCTTGTCTCGCTGGAGGAAGAAGGCTCACGCGCTGCGAGCTCCAAGTGCTCCTTCCTTTGCAAGCAATCCGCGAGCGATGGCGCTGGGGCGCCACATTTGTTTCGCAAAATCATCTGCATGCTTGTCATCTCCTTCTTTATCTTTTCTTTCAACTGCCGCGCACTTCCTTCAACCCCCCAATCTTTTCTTTTCTCACAAGAGTGTGAAGTCGCCGCTGGCCATGTTGGCTAGAGTGAGCCATGTTGCTAGGTTTCCTGGCTTCAGGCGATGCGAGAGAAGCTTGTTGCACTCTATTAGGTGAGCAATGAAGCTACTATTATATTAACCATCCCAATGATGTTCATGTAGAGGTTTCTGCAGGGTTTTGATCGATGAATCTTGGTTGGTTTTTTGTTGAATGAGAGGCGCATTGAATCTCGCGTGGGTTTTAGCTTTTTGTGGAATTCGTGTTTGGCGTAATTGGGTTTCTGGTGGTTGTCGTGAATCCTTGTGGGTGCCGACATTTGAGAGAATTGTGGTTGTGTGTGAAACCTCTGAGTGTAATCATGACTGATTCATTCTGTTTCCATGGTCAATTCCGTGACGAGTAATGTGTTTGGTTTAAATCACTTATGGCCAGGTGACCTGGATGGTTCCTGTGGGCGGTGTTGAGAATTTTCACCTGCAATTGTATAGTATACTGTAGAAGGTGGAGGTGGGTTGTTAATTCTTCTTCTGGGTATGACTGCAGGTGCAATGCTTCATCCTCAGCGCCACAAACGTCTGAGAAACCGGAGTCTAAGAACTCAAGGAACCCAAGGGTCTCAGAAGGGGGCAGGAGGAAGAAAAGCGCTGAAGTAGATAGCACATCTTCCAGGGAGGACATTCGCACTCTCCGCTTGAAGAAGGTGCATCATCTTTTGCTTTCACGTGAGCATTGGATAAATGGATTGAGCGCTGCTCTTTAATTTCACATTGCTGAGCATTTCGGTGGGGTTTTTGCGTCTGTAATGTGCTTTTGGCTAGAAAAGTTCTTTCCGTTTGTGGGACACATTAGTCATCGATCATATTCAAATCCGGCGATAGTTCTATGATTTCGGTCGATCCCTACTTGTCCATGGTAACAGAATGAATCGCGTGGAGGTTCTTATTTAAGTTTCATCTCACGTGTTGCCATGTGTATCCCTTCTTTGGGCTGTTTTAGGTTGAAGATCTTAGGGCGGGAGGATTTGAACCGTATGGCTATACATGGGACAGGACGCACACAGCTGCTGAGCTCCAAAAACAGTATGTGGACTTACCCAGTGCAACAGAAGCTAACGAAGAGAAGGACCATGTGGCCGTAGCAGGTCGCATCATTGCTCGGCGAGTGTTTGGAAAGCTTGCCTTCCTCACGATGCGAGATGATTCAGGAGACATTCAGGTTTGACGCCATTATTATCTGCAGATACTACAAGATAAAGTAGAGATCGTATTTTTTCTGATACGGATATGGATGTCATTATGCTTATGTACATAACTATTCGATCATGGCTAACTTAATCCCGGCTCTGGACTGGATGATATTGGCAGTTGTATTGTGAGAAAGCGAAACTAACCGACGAAGCCTTTGACCAATTGAAGACTTTAATGGATATTGGTGACTTCATTGGTGCCAAGGGCACAATGAAGAGGACGGAGAAAGGTTAGCAGTTTTGGTGGGCTATTTTTGTAGTTAATGTGGGTCCAGTTGGTTCTTTAGGGTAACTCATGTGATAGTGTATTAGTGGTAAAATCTTTAAGCAACTAGTGTTCTTTATTTTTCAGGAGAGCTGTCTGTGCTTGTTGGAGAGCTTTCTATCCTCACCAAGTCTTTACTCCCTCTACCCGACAAATGGCACGGACTTACTGATGTTGAGAAGCGGTATCGCCAGCGGTAGGTTCTTCACTTGACTCGCACGTATCAGTCATCGCACTTGATTCGAAATGGGCTTTTTGTCCGTTTAAAGTACGTGATTTTTTTTTTTTTTTTTTCTTTTTCTTTATTGACGTGTCGGTGTGAGTGGCAGGTATGTGGACATGATTATGAATCCAGATGTTGCCACTGTATTCCGTGATCGGGCTAAGGTCAGGACAATGAACTTTTACTTTGTCATCGCATTCTATAACTCCATAATTTGGAGCATTGTTGGCTTACACAGCATGTATCATGGTAGTCCCCTGCTTTTCAGATCATGAAACCAAGTCAAATCAGTTTTGAGCAACTCTCTGTTGGTGTCATGCTCTCGTTAAGGAGAATTTCCATATTGACAAGAGTTTTCGTCATTATCAATTTAGTTAAATATTTTGCTCAATTCTCGCAAAAGAGTATTTTGATTAAACTGTCTGTGGCTTGATATGGTTTGCGTGAGGATAGATCATCTCAGAGATACGAAGACACATGGAAAGTCTCGGATACCTGGAAATCGAAACTCCAGTTCTTCAGGTATTTACTTCAAAAACATGCACCTGAACATAGTATTTGACAATTTCATGCTTTTAGCTTGTTATATTATGTCATTCTTTTCCATAGTAGCAAATCGTAGAGCAGAGCCAGATAGGCAACTTATCCATCATCTTCATCAGCTCTGGAATCATCTGGTTGTTTCTATGCCAATTAGGAAAGCGTGTCTATTCAAGTGTGTGTTAGTTCAGAGCGAAATGCATTGTTTGATGAAATCACGTATATGCACATCATGCCCAACCTTCATGTGCGCAAAGTGGAGGCTTACTCGATACTCAAACCCCTTCTTCTACTTTCATCTATTTTCGATCCTTCAAATATGATCTATGTTATTAGGATTTAAGAAGAGCACCGAATCGGCTTTACCGAATTGGAGTTATGGGTTTGCATGGGATATAAACAGGGAGAAGCTGGTGGAGCTGATGCAAGGCCTTTTGTGACTCATCACAATGCTTTAGGACAGGATATGTATCTCCGCATAGCCACCGAACTTCATCTAAAGCGCATGGTGGTAAGTTGCGAAAAGTGTATGGATTCCTGTAGACGCTACTGGTGGATACATATTTAGCAATCCAGGGTCAACTGTTGGTTTCACCTCCGGCTTCCAGATTAATCATATAATAACCCTATGTGACTGATTAAGGGGCTTGTTGTTACGATGACCGTCTATATTTTATTAAGAAATATGAACTCTAAATTTTTTTCGCTATCATTGCTAAGGGCATGTCGATAGAGAGCTGGAAAAGTTTGTAGTTTGATGTACATGCGGTACCCTGCAGGTGGGAGGTTTTGAGAGGGTGTATGAAATTGGCCGAATTTTCCGAAACGAGGGCATTTCAACACGTCACAATCCCGAGTTCACATCTATTGAGGTACTCAAGGGTCAAAATTATTTGGGATACCTTCTCTGGCTTTTATAACTCAAGTTCGGTACTAGCTGTGGAATTACAACTGTAATGGTGATATATATATATGAAATTTTATAAGAAGATTCGATATCTTAGAAGTGTTTTTACAAACTTGGAAACGTATATGTTTCATCCAACGTTTCTATTACTTGCAGCTATATCAAGCGTATGCCGACTATGATGACATGATGAACCTTGCTGAGGAGATCGTTGAAAAATGCGCACTAACAGTCAATGGCAGCCTTTCCCTTACTTACCAGGTTTGCTTTATTATATGTTCAATTTAGTTTATTTTATCGTCTTTACTACAGGAGATTTGTCATCAAGCTTTTTATGAGGTGGTGGAGATCCTTGATGCTGCGAGGATTACAACTGAACTATGTTGACTTTTACACCGAGCCTTTTAGAATAGCATCTTTAGAAGTAAAGAATTGGAAGTAGTCTCTTCTGTCCTGCCTATGCTCGTTGAAAAAAATTAAGAATTCAAGCTTTTTCTTTACAGCCTAGAATCGCGGAGTTAACCGCAAATCATTCAGAGGAAAATTTTCATAGTAGTTGTTCTTAGACGACTATTGTAGGTAGCCAGAACCCTAGCTATCCTTCATCCTAAGACATCTGTAATTGGTCAGTGCAGGGCACAGAAATTTCTCTGCAAAGGCCATGGAAGCGGGCAAGTATGCATTCACTGGTAGAGGAGGTCACTGGCATTAACTTCGCTAGCTTTGGTGATGACATAGAGGCAGCAAAAAATGCAGCCGTGAGTTTCTTTGCAGGTCACATTGAGAGGCATGACACTGGGACCATCTTAAAGGCCCCTTCAATAGGCCATCTCGTCAATGAGGTAATAGCTGCCTATCTGGAACATTCTCATGTCGCTCTTTTGTCCCACTCAGTGGTACTTGCACTTCGTAATTTCAAGTTTCTAATAGAAGGAAGTAGGATGTAAATGAAAACCTGCAAATATGTTGAGTAGTAGAGTGAAGGTTCGGACACAACAGCGTTTTCTGTCTCAGAATTTTCCACTGGCAAATAGAAACATAGAAAAAGATGTGACTTCTTGTTGAGACCGTCCTAATCTGATCTCCTGCGCTTTTTGTTGTATCTGTTTTGTTTTCAACTGACCCCTTGGTAACGTCCCTTACGCAGGTGTTTGAGATGGTAGTGGAAAAGACTTTAATACAGCCAACGTTTGTGATGGACCATCCCGTAGAAATTTCACCGCTGGCTAAACCACATAGAAGGTATGCATATCAGGTGTGGCCCAAACTAGGCTCTATAGGTTTAAATGGTGCGGATTATCATTCAATCACGTTGAATTTCAAATACTTTGAAAGCAGGGATGACGGAATAGGTTTGCCTGCTTTCGCATCTGACGGTGAATTATGTGGTACATCTGGGTTGTGCAGTAAACCTGGGCTTGTTGAAAGGTTTGAGCTTTTTGTATATGGTCGGGAAATGGCTAATGCGTTTTCAGAGTTGACGGATCCCATTGAGCAGGTACGCTTAATAACGATGTATTGAAGTGGTTTTAAAAACGAATCCTGACTGCTTTACGTGTATGTTTTAGAATCTTTTGTCGCAGGAAATGTGATCTGGCACTTAATCGTATGATATTTTTCCGATTGTGCAGAGGTCGCGATTCGAAGCACAAGTGCGAACGCACAATGCTGCAATGGCCGCTGCTGCTGAGGCTGCAAAGGCTAAGGGCGACACTGCACTTACGAGCGCTATAAATGACGCGTATGAGGTTGGCATGGACGAGGACTTCGTAACTGCGTTGGAATACGGAATGCCTCCGACTGCTGGAATGGTGAGCATATTTCCAATATAAGTTTACACAGTTCGGTGCATCTTCTGCATTACTTATATTCCTGTTGTGGTTCGTTGATTGGGGACGTGTTAACTGGTTAATTTAGTGCTTAACTAACCAGCCGGAGTCTGGACCAGCTTTAAATTCTTAGGAGACGGAAGTGGTAAGCAACCGGACAAGTGGAGTCTGGTTATAAACACTAGGCCATGCACTTGTATCAAATTTTGATTGACCGTCGAAAATGAGATATTTGCCTCAGGACTGTGGAACTTTCTGTTGGAAGATTGGGTGCTGTCAGATCCAACGGTAAATCACCAAATACAAAATGAGTCTTTCATCTGAACTAGTACTGTGGTATTGTTTGGGTGTTGTGCAGGGAATCGGAATCGACCGCCTGGTGATGCTTTTGACAGACAGTGCAAGCATTCGGGATGTCATCGCTTTTCCTGTGATGAAGTCTCAATAGAAGTCCTCTGTCGGGCATGGATGCTAGACAGGGATTCAATTTTGTACTACTCAGTTCTGGGTCGATACAGAGCATGGATGGAATTTAATTTGTGTTTATCCTCAACATTTATGAACACAGAGAAAAGAATCTTTCTTTGCCTAGTATATACCAGTCACCTCCTGCTAGTGACAGATCTGAAATTGAACGGTCCCAAATTAGGACCAAATCACGCTTGTGACACAGAAGTTCGGAAATTCTGAAAACTTGAGGGTGTCATCGTTTTCATTATTCACGAGAATGTACACAAGGTCCAGGCTTCAACGTCCATACTTCTGGAACTCCCATTCACTGTTGTCTGCATACAACGAGGTCGCCAGGGCGAATATCAATAACATGATCACTTGAATCAGAGTCCGTAACAAAACAGGCACAAACTGTTGATCAAGGCCAGGTACAAATCACAGCATTACAAGGTTTAGTAGCTTACCCAGAGGGCAAACTTGTCTGGTCTTTAGCCACCTGCTAATACAATGGAAATGGAATGCATGATTGCAAACGCCTGCCAATTACACAGATTATGAGTCGCATAGGATGTAAGGAATAACACAAAAAAACATTCGATTGACTCTCTGGAAACATGCCAGAAAAGCACTCCACTGACAGTACATTCAGTAAGAAAAGAGATGCATACCCCACGCTACAGTGCATTCCTCACTGGTGGCACTTGCTTGGTTTGCTTGGCACTCAATACCTGCAAAATAAGTGGCCAGACCATTAGAACGGCCGAAACAGACGATTGTAACAAAGAAATCCAGGATCCTATCTACAAACAAAATAATTTTATTTATCAAATAAAACACTAAGCTATTGAGATGCAGGAAAACTCAAGTGCACCGGAGGGAAAATCATGGCAATTTGAGTGCAAAAAACTTACATAGGTCCATGATGTGATTACGGCAAATAGCGCAATTATCCACGACGATATCTGCAAACAAAACGAACAACACCATCCAGTCGACCACACGTCACTTCTAGTCCCTAGAAATCCAACGCAGCCAGACGTACCTATTTCTACCGACATTCCAAATTGTGACCACGACCCAAACTCATCGAAATCCTTGTTCCCTCTCCTCACTAAAAACTTTGGCTATCCCAGAACCAATTTACAAAAAGCACGCAATACTGGCGACAAGAAACAAATCACTTACCCCAAGCCCAAAGTGCAACCGCATTCCACTTCTTGATCTCAAACCGCTTAGCCCGCTTGGTCACCGCACTCGAACTAGCACCCGCGCTCAATCCCTCGCCGGATGGCACCGTCAACGTGTCGGTGTCAGTGCCGGCCATCTTACGACTTCGATCGGGCATGGTCGTTACAAAAGACTGCTATTCTGCAAGCTAGTAAGTCTAGGTTACCCACCGCACCAAACTCGTCGCGAGAGATCGAAATTGATCCCAGTGTGCTGCGACTGAATTGAGTGAGCGGCCTTCGCTTCGCTCTTCGTGAGCCCCCAACTCAAATCTTCACATAAAAAACCGTAATTACACGAGCGATAAGAGGCAAGAAGTTCATACAAATAATTCGGTGCTGCGGCAACGCTATAAGATACTTCGAGAAAACCGGTAAACTTCAGGAACAGAAAAAGGGTCAGAATTCTTTGGAACTTACCGTAGAAGCATAGTTCTCAGACTTTATGCAGACCGAGAAGTCAATTAGCCAACAGTTTACAGACTGGTGGAAATATATGAACAGATAAATCTTAAGTGAGCGAGCAGGATGCGCAGACAACTACAATACATCTGGAGATCTATATTTAAATAACTGAAGTGAAGGGTCAAGGGAAAGCTGGGTGACGACAACAAAGGCTAAGTGGAAATGGAACAACATCAAAGTTTCTATTGGATGGGAGACGTCAAACCTCGGGCACACACGCAATGACCTTCGACGACGGCATTTCGCAGTGTCTGTTCATCCGTTTCCAAGGAAGGCGTCGCGCCTTCTTTCGGATGCGGGCCTCAGACACGACGTTCCTTCGTTTCCTTGTTTTCGAGATTCTCATGATGTGTATGGGTCGTTCGATAGTTGGGTTCTGACGAACGGGGTTCTATTCATCGGATTGCCAAAAGTTGGATGTGTCCTCCGCTCATAAAGTTGTGTGAGTGTTGCCTGTCCGATTGTGCAGCATTCTGGAAGTTGTTGAGTTCATTTTTGCTGATCCTTGGATCGATGCTAAAGTCGGCGCATGCTTGATCAGGTGGTTTTGATTGCTTTTGTGTGTTTCGTTGTGATGTTAGAATTCCGAATGTTATTTGGTTTCTGGGATTGCGAAAGTTCTGGAAGTGGGACATCTTGTGCTTCCGTTGTTCGTTTGAGTATGATAGTGTAGCTCTGTTTCTAGGTATGGGAATGGGAGTTTCGTTGTCTTGGAAAGAGCTCTTAAGGGTTGAAATCCTCGGTGTGGTTGAGGTCGCCGTGTTCTCTCACGAGAGCAACGGTGGAGCCGTTATGTTCTATAAATTGCGGGATTAGCACTTCTTTCAGTTAGTTAGTACAATTCTTCAGCTATGTCGTTTTCTTTCTTCAAACAGTTGAAGCCCAAGACACCCGCCGAGCTAGTGCGGCAGGTGAAAGAATCGTTGTCGTCACTTGACACGAAGACAATGGGCGACACACGACTCCTGGAGAAATCGATGGAGGAGGTGGACAAGAATCTCAAGGCGATGAAGGATCTGCTTTTGGGGGATAGCGATACGGAGCCCAATGCTGAGGTTGTTGCCGAGGTCATTCAGGAGATATGCAAGATTGATGTCCTAGAGCTCATTGTGCAGAAGATTCCGACAATGGATTGGGAAGCGCGCAAGGATTGCGTACACATTTGGGGTGCAGTGTTGAGGCAGAAAGTCGGTGCTACACAATGCGGACTTGAGTATCTGGAAAGTCACACCGAGCTCCTGGACTACCTAGTTTTGTGCTACGAAAACAAAGAAGTTGCTCTGAATTGTGGTACTATGCTGCGGGAGTGCGCCAGGTATGTGACCCTGGCGAAATACATGCTGGAGTCTGTGAGCTTCGAGATGTTTTTCAAGTTTGTGGAGACTCCTAACTTCGATGTCGCATCAGACGCCTTCGCTACATTCAAGGAGCTCCTTACCAGACATAATCCAGTGGTGGTGGCATATTTGTCCTCTCGCTACGCTTCTTTCTTCGCCAACTTCGACAAATTGCTTCGGTCTACGAATTATGTTACGAGGCGGCAATCTTTAAAGCTTCTCAGCGACATTTTGTTGGAGCGCTCAAACTCCGCAATTATGATGCTATACATTTCTGATGTTCGAAACCTGCGAGTGATGATGACATTGATAACAGATCCTAGCAAAAACATCCAGGCATCTGCGTTCCACGTATTCAAAGTTTTCGTTGCAAATCCACAGAAACCGCCTCAGATCGTCAGTATACTCGCCAAGAACCGTGAGAAGCTGCTGAGGTTTCTGGACAATTTCCATATTGACAAAGAAGATGAGCAGTTTGATGAGGAGAAAGAGCTTCTGGTGAAGGAGATCGAGGGATTATCGTCTTTGAATCTTCGAAGTCGTTAGCTGCTTGGCAGTCAATCAGCGATTGAAGTGAAATCCTCCCAGGGTTTTAGGCTTTTGTGTCTTAGCCCTAAAGTTCTGGTTTCTGATTTTATTACTATTATCATTATTATTAACCTCGAGGGGGTTGCAAGGTTAACTCTCGATTCCATTTTTGATGTTACTGACCCCTTTTCCAAAACCATAGATCTTCATTGTTCCTTGGGGGTTGCTTTTGCATTGACTCGGATGCAGGTTGTTAAATCACCAAGAAGCAAGCATGTACGTTGGCTTTATTGAGCAGCTGGTACTGGTTAATGATATTGTACATATAGAGCACAAGGACGATACCAGGTGCGATTTATAGAAATTCAAATTTAGCATCTTTTCTTGACTAAATTTGTGCGCATAATCCTGGTGTCATTATGAAAATATTTTAATTCTAGACATTATAAAAAGAAAACGAGAGAGAAAATATTAGCATAAATGCTATATAAACTAGTAGTTAAATCATGAATCAAAGACTTATTAAAATCCTTTAACAATCTTTTTATTAAAACAGAGATAATTGATTACAAAGAAATAGTTTCTAAATCATAAATTAAAGAAAAGTATTTAAATCAAATATTCATCCAATTCTTGAACTCTTAAATTTAGAAAATATATGTTCAAAAATATATAGTTCAAAAATGATAAAAGTAATCCTAGGATAATATATGTAGCTCAAATAAACATACAATGTAATATTTCAAAATAAAACATTACCTTTGAAAGGAAACTAATCACTTTAATATTGATGCCTTTTAATATTAATTTTGCTAACTTATAAATAAGAAGATCCTTTCTTTTGGACCCAATCTTGATGTCCTCAATTAAAATTCTCCAAAAATTATGCTCAATTTTGCTAATATCTCTTAACAAATTATATTCTTTATTGATTTTTATGTTGGCACTCTCATTGACTTCTCAATTCTTTGTCATTCACTCACCCATTCTCCTCCTTGACACCTCCTATAGTACCCACAACCCATGACTCTAATTACACTCGAGATGTTGAATATGAATCAAGACAAGTAGGCCAGAATATTAGGATTATAGAATGACAGAATATGCTGCTACACAAGGGCCGGGCACATTTTGCTTTCCATTGGAGTCCACATAAGTTACTGTTAGGACTGCCCTGCTAGTGAAATTTGCATGATACTCAGAGCAAGTCTAGATCCATGCCAGATCTTTGGACAGAAGATAGCTCCACTTTACCAGTAGAGTTTCACAAGCACCGCCTTGCAATATCACGACTTAGATGTACATGCTATCGCATACAATCTCGAGGTATCTGTAAAGATAAATCTGCGTACAAAGCCAATCTCAATGTGGTGCGATTTGAAAACTGTGCACAAATGTGGAATACTGGTATTGTATGCGTCACCAACATCTAATATTCCACTGTCTGCCTTACTAACCTATATACACACGCACCATCTGCAGCCTGTCTGTTCAAATGTAATCCTCTACAAGACAAAAAAAATAAATAAATAAACAAAATCATACTCGCCCCAGTTCTTGGGTGTTGAAAACAGAAACGGAACGAGTGGATTCGAATGATCAGCCTGGCAACACAATCGGTACATTACATTCCGCTGGAGTCTTTTGAGTGGCCCCTTGGCAGAAAGAGAGAGTGTCCGGGCAACTTTCTAGGCAGTTCCTCACAAAATTAGCACGGAAATCAGGTAAGGTCAGATTCAGAAGAGGAGACGGAATACTCCCAGTCAGATAATTGTCGTCCATGTACAGCTGCCCCAATCGAACCGTTCCATTGGGTGGGTCCGCCACTTTGAGCGCATAGGAGTAAGGAATGGACCCCGTGAACAGGTTTGACCGCAGAGCAAGAACCATGAGCTTCTGCATCTCCGCTAGAAACTCGGGTAACGTTCCCCCAATCTCGTTGAAGCTCAAATCCATGGACAAAAGCTCACTTTTCTCCCCCGTCGACATATTGTAAGGCTCCACATCCGTGAACTGGTTGTAAGATAAGTTCATCTGTTGCAAATTCGGCATGCTGAAGAGGAACGAGAATACAGAACCGTTGAGCTTATTCTCCCGCACATCTAGGACCTGAAGAAAGGTTAAATTCTTCAAGCTTAGGGGAAGGGGGCCAGTCAATTGATTTTTGCGCAATGAGAGCAAAGAGAGTTGAGGGGGAACGGAAGGCAAGGAGCCGGTAAGGTTGTTGTTGCTTGCGTCAAGGAAGGAGAGAGTGGACATCCCTGCAAGAGATGGGATGCTTCCCATCAGACGATTGTTGTCCAAGTACATGTAGGTCAAATTCTTCATCTGGTTGAAAGAATCTGGGATGGGCCCTTCCAAGTAGTTATTGGCAACCGAGAAGAAAGAGAGAGTGGAAAGGAGGCCTAAAGATGCTGGCAATTGCCCACTGAACGCGTTCTTTGAAAGGTCCAGTTGAAACAACTCCATGCAATTGCCTAAAGTGTCGGGAATGGGACCGTGGAGGTTGTTTCCAGAGACTATGAGCCGTTGAAGAGCAGTGAGGTTGCCCACAGCAGGTGAGAGGAGGCCCGTGTACCCAGCGCCAGTTTCGAGACGAATCCCTATGATGCGAGAAACGCCGGACACGGGTAGGCTACAATCTATCCCGCAGGTAAAATGGGCACTTGCCCGAGCTTCGCAGGGATCAAAAGCAAAGTCCCATGAGCCCATGCATGAGGCGTTCATAATGGAGGATGCATTCAGCGCCATCTTCACCTGATCAAAACAAACACGGTTTCAGTATCCATATAACTCATGTGTCTTACATTGCACTATATCCACGTAGTGATGGATGCTGCGGAGATGCAAAACTGCGCTTGTAGCATCAGGTACTTCACTCTTCTCAATGTTCGTGTCCTCTCAAGAAGGAACTAAGATACAAACTTCAAATCTTTCAGCTTGAATGATCGGATGAATTTCACAGGATGTCGCATGGAGTGGATCTTACCTCTTTCAGAACTTCAATATCTCCAGGATGAGTAATAGCCTGAACATGCATTAAGCTTTGGGTGATGGTGACAAACACCATCACCATTAACAATAAACCCCGCACTCCCCTGGAATGCTTAACTCCCGATTGTTGGCTTCCAGAACCCATTGTGAATGATGTTTCAAAGACAGGGAGCCTTTTCCCTACCCTTCTCCGATCTTCAAATTGCTTGCTGATGACAAAAGCATGCATAGGAATGCAGCTCTGTTGAAAGTCCTTCACAACCTCTACTCAGTACCTTTTTCAAGTGAAAGCTGTAATTTCTCATGGTAGTGGCATTTCTACGAGCAACTGTAAGTGAGATGGCAATGCCAAAGTCTTGCAAGTAGACGGCATCCTTAGTACCTTCTTCCCAATGTGTTAAACCCAAAACCTGTATGCAACCTCTCAGCAAGAAGTCAAACCCAATTCAAAATGTATCCAAATTATGGAGCGACAATTTTCATGCAGAAGTGCAATTCAACCAGTCACTGCTTTCATCCTCCTGTTGCTCCCTGCTGGCACATTTCCGCTGATAATAGATAAACGATCACACCAACTCTACTACCACTTCAGATTCTCAAACCCCTGAAGCAGACAGAAACAAGAAGCACAGGGTCATAATTCGGACACAACCACGACAGATCAGAAGAGTGTGCGAGTTGAACGTTGAAGCTGAACATCCCACTCCAACCGAAACCATGATCAGGCTCTGCTGTCCACTCAAAAGAATCCCATTGTCAATTTGCAACTAATCACTACCACGAGATACTAAACTCCAGCAACTCACCGTCCGTTGTTGCAAGCTACCGCAATAATTCTACCCCAAGGGGTAACTCCCACCACTGCACACTCGACAAAAACCCTACGGCTGGCGTGCAAACAAATCTCTAGCAGCATCAAAAACCACAAGTCCCGCTCAGATGGAACCCACAATATGCCCATCCCAGTCTCCTAGTACAAGGTTACCCACACCAGCGGAACAACCCAACGTAATGCTTCCATAGTGCAATGTGCGCTCACCACCAGCTTGTCAGACGGAGGGCGCCATCACTGCCACAGACCACTGCCATTCGTGCATGCTCTGCTGCGAATTGTCGGACTCCCACCACCTCCAGCAGCTACTATACGATTCTCCGTCCCTCTGCGCTGAGGTTTACCCTATTGCAAGCCTCCACAGATGACGCCAGCAACATCGCAGGGTGCCGAATCAGTGCCAGGCTGCGATCCCCGGTTGCGGAATTCCAGCTTCGTCTTGTTGTGGGAGTCCCCATCTTGTCCTGGATCCGAGTTTCCGCATCCGTGGCGAGCTGTGCGAGATCGAGCAACAGTACTAGCGAGCGAGTAGAGAGAGCTGAAGCCGCTCGATCATCTGCGCTGCCGGATTTGGCATCCCCGGGTGACTCTGCTGACTAGGATTGCCACCTAGGGTTCTAAACTTGTCCAGCTCCGCGCCTAGCCCCACTGATGGCTCGCCAGCTTGGCAACGCCTCGTACCAATCGCTTTTGTATAGCGTATCGGGTAGTATAATCGTATGTATTGTGTAATAGTAGTCGTAACGTATTTGAAAATTCTTATCTGTATTTCCTTATTGAAGTCCCTTCTTGATGAGAAGTAGAATGGGGTTTTTTTTTCTCCTTTCTTTTTCTTTGTTTTTTCCTATTTTTTCCTACACCTTTGGATTAAGGAATGGTCGTGTTCAAATAATTCCTCCAATGAGAAGATTATGGGTTTTGTTTTAGAAAGACTCTTTTTTGTGGTGTGCGGAATAAGTTAGTGTAACTTTGTAAATTGCATTGCAGCCACAAGAATTAGAGGTTATCCGAAATAATCAATACAATCGTACTAAATATAATTGATGAACTTCTTGTTTTCTCATTCTGCCCAAAAACACAAATGTGTGCAAAAATGAAAAATTAGATCATTACTTAGTTTATCTATTTTATTGCATGATTTCTATAGAATGTTTAAAATACAATCAATATATTTTTAATTGTTTTTTTAACAAATCATTTAAATGATAATTGTTACAGAAAGCCAATCGTAGTAATTTTTTGGATGACCTATCTGAATCACTGTAATTTTGGTTTGAATTAGAAACCATGACATTAAATACAATAAATGAAACGAAACACAACGACTAACGTTAACGGAGCAAAGCTTTCCAACATGACCAAGCCGAAGAAACCAAACCTCATCGGACAATCCTGTGGGAGTTAAAAAACAAAACGCACTCCCGGTGGGACTCGAACCCACAATCCCCTGATTAGAAGTCAGATGCCTTATCCATTAGGCCACGGGAGCAACCCATGTTCAGGTAGTATCTACTTTAGTTTTTGAATAGAGACATATCTGGTAGTTCCAGATTGCGATATTTTTTTTGTGACGGCTAAATCGTTGTCTTTCGTTTTAATTGCCCATTTGTGTTACGGTTTAAGTTTAATCGTACATTACCAACAACCAAAGACCTTTCAAAACGTACTCTATTTTGAGGAAAAATAAAATACATGGATGAAATACAGCTCTATTGAGGGAATTGGGAGTTATTAGACTTTCTACATTGCAGATCCAGATTTTTACGAATGCTACAAGATTTTCTCGGAACAATTCACGGAAAGCTTCCCTGCTGCTGCATGAGAATCTCGCTCAGGCTTGTTGAGTGATATCTGCATAGGAGAAAATACACACTATATAATCAGGATGTGATTTTGTACCCCTTTCAAAAAAAAAAAAAAAAAAAAAAAAAAAAAAAGCTAATTTTCGTGGTCTTATCCAAGCTGGTGGAGCGACAAATAACACATTTCCTTGTTTGCGTTACCAAATAAGAGGTGACAGAAGAATAGATGCATATACCAAAAGAATATCTTCGTCTGTGCCAAAGGCTTTGCGAGCTTCATCTAGTGCATCCAATGAAATTCGCTCACTCGTGCTGTACAGAAAAGAAAATTCGATCAGAAACAAATCAAAAGCTTGACTACGTTGTTGTCGGGAAAAGATCAAGGATGGAATGTCTGGAGAAGGGGTGGAAATTACCTGCCGCTTGCTGGATCTCGTATTTCAAACTCATCCGCATCCATGTCATATCCACATATCACAACGTAATGACCTACAGCATCAACGTTGACATTAAAAATCGTTTTGTTGTGAGATACCACTAGATGTTACGAGATAAACCAAAGCATCGCAAGATACCTTAAGAGTATCTCACCGGTGTATCCTGTGTTGAGACCACAGCAGTCAGCAAGGCAAAGCTCGTCCAACCATGGGTGACTGCATAAACACGAACCAAATCAACCACATAAACTCAAGTTGTATTTATGGGTACATCACCTCGCATTCCTTCAACAATCTTGTGCATCAAACACCGCTATAGTTTCTACAAAAACTCAACTGCCCGTAACATGCTTCTTATCATACTATTTAAAGCAATTTTAAATCCAAATAAGGAAAGTCGACCATGACAAGTACCTAAGCTTGCGCTTGTCAACTAAAGCAATGGCCAAAAATCCACCGGACAAAATCATCAGTGAAAGTTCTTCACCGGTTATTGATCTCCACTGCACCAAAGAGAGAACGTAGTAAATCAGAATGTGAAGACGCACAAAAAAATTTGCACACATCCATTACGTGCCATGCAGGAGAATCAACAAATTTGTGTACCTGCACTCGGATGCCAACTTGGGGAGCCTTCGCAAAAAGCATATTGACGCGCTCACCATCTTCTTCCATATTTCCCTGCATCCACGGATGCACGATACATCCACTATCATGTCAAAACCACATCACACTGCCCACAAACAAAATCAGTTAATGTACAAGTGCTCTCATTTGAGCACAATACTAACCTCCCACATAAATACAGCGAATAGAATTTGCATCGCATCCTTATGGAAGTGCTTTGAGATGTCAAAAAAGTAAGGCAAATTACTTGGTAAAAGGTTTCAACTGCAAAACTAGGATTGGCTCCGATTGTGACAGTTAGAAACGCCACATCAACCTTAAAATGCCGCAACAAGTGAGCTAGGTCCACTGTCCATATGCTGTACCATAGCAGAAATGAATATTAAACAGCTTCTACCCACTAACATACACACGAGTTTCTGAGGAGAATCCAGCAGAGCCATTGCACATCCCATTAGGCAAAATAATAATAATAATAAATAATAAAAAGAATAAAAAAATAAAAAAACAATCGAGGAAGCAAGTATCAATGCGATTGTCACTCTCAGTCGTCAATCTAATTCTGACGTGTCCAAACAATTTGTGCTGTAAACATACAAGAATGCAAGGGTTATTGCGCCTCCAAAAAAAAAAAAAAAAAAAAAAAAAAAAACATTTTATTCGCATCTCTCCAAGACTTAAGTTCTTTGTACTGATGCCTTGTCCATTATAATGATTAGTTCTCGAGATTCAAGAGCCATACCTCGTGGTTTGACACAGTTGGCTCAAATATTTGAGATCACAGCCCTGAATACCCAAGAATTTCAACACCATCAAGACACATGCCAACCCGCAGTCCCAGTTGCAAAGCTGCCGCACATGTGGAACCTGTGGATACCACCTCTCAGTACGCATCTCTTGCACTTTCACGTACAATCCCTACACAACTTCTTCTTATGATCCCTTATATATATATATATATGATCATATATATATATATATATATATGAGCCCAGTATTTTGCAAAACCAACACCAACATAGACCCTAACCTGAATGGAGCGGGTGCGAGGAACAGGCGTACTGAGGTCCATCAATGGCGTCGGCGGCGTACTCCACACGTTAGATTCAATAAGCGACGCCGCAACCCACCCACTACTTCCACTATGGCTCACACTTTGGCTGCTGCTAGAAAGCCCGTTGGTTTCAGGCGCTGGGCGAGGCGGCCTAACTCGGGTAGCCCGCCCCGCCACGGCGATCTCCATGGATGCAAACTCAGGGCCGAGGAGGGAAACCCACAACTAATCTATCTCAGCAACCCCTCCTCTCCACCCAAATTCCTCACAATATCTCAAAATGCAACACGCTTCGCAACCCCTCAAATTATGCCTCCAAACCCTTCCTGCTCCGGCTCAGAAGCTGGCATACATGACTACACGCACGCCAACTGCCTGCTGCTGCACTGGATACGCCACGACCCTAGAACAGATTGCCGCTCGCAGCAAGCATGGTGCACGAGCAGCAGCAGCAAGCGTGTGCGGCATTCGTAGGCGGCGCGTGATGATGGAGGCAGATTGGGGTTGGGGTGGTAGGTGTGGGGGCCTGATTCTGAACTCCTTCAGCATCAAGGGCGCAATCTTGCAGCTGCTGCTTCTGCTTCTTCTTCTTCTTCTTCTTCTTCTCGTGCCATTGCGCATTCTTCTTCTGCTTCTTTCGAATCTCCTTCCTCTTCCGATTCTCCTTTCTTCATCTTCCCCTGTTCTTCCTGGCTGACTTTCTTCGTGGCTCCGGGTCGATGCCCATCACCACGGTGGAGGATGGCTCTTTCTCCGCGGGCACCGGTGGCTGTGCAGTCTCATCCTGCACCCGTGGATTCCTATTCCATTTGAATCTCGCGGTGATAAATTCTCAACATGAAGCTCTTCTAAAGTATTGTGTGTATGTATATACATTTATTCTAAAGTATGTATATATATATATATATATATATATATACATTTATTAGTAATATTTTGATAAAAGAAATCCTATCAAAAGAATTCATTGGATACAAGATGAAATAGAACAATTGTGTATGAGTATCTATCTATATATATTTGCCCCCCTAACAATTAATCTCCCAAAAAATAATATATATATATATATATATATATATGTACTAAGCAGTAGTTGGTTGGTACATAAAATGTCATGATATAACATGAATTTTATATTTTTTTAATAAATCTTTGAAATTATTTTTTTTGAATCAGAATTAGAAATATCATTTGTTCATTACTTGATGTAAAGTCTATACTGGTTCCATTTCTTATTGTTCACTTTTATATATAACTAGCAAAAATCCATGCTATTGGCATTGAATTAAATTCATTTTAAAGTCAATATTCAATGCTAAGTCTTTTTTTAAAGAAATAAATGCATGAAGATAAATATAAATTTGCTCTAAGTTAATATACTAATGAATTGTAGCTTTAGTACATTTTAAAAAAAAATAGAGTAATATAATCTATTTTATCTAATAAATAACCTTCTAAGATGCAAAGTTTATCCAAAATTGTTATAAATTAGTTTCAGCATACAAAAATATTTCACCAATTTCAGCCACTACATGTAAAAAAATGATCTTAAGAGGATTGGTAGAAAAGATTTTCAAGTACCACATGTAAAATTAATAACAATTTTAAATGATAATCTTACGAAATAATTACACCAGCGTTGTAATTTTTGCCAGTAGAGGCCGCTTTCATATTCTAAGTGCATGTTCTTTATTATATACATATGAAGATTTAAAACCAGATGTGTTTATATATATATATATATATATATATATCAGTATAGATCTCGTAGAAGAATCAAATGAACAGTAGAAGATAGAAATTAATTAAAAGAACACTAGAAAGGTATTTAACATTATAGTAAATGCAACATACAGAGACGACAACAACAAGCAAGTACAACGCACAACAAATTCAATAAAAACGATGACGAGCAAATCTGAGCAAGAAGATTAAAAGCAAGTAGACAAGCTCGGCCAACACAAGAAAAAAGGCCACATACAAGAATACAGCCACAATCAAGAAATCTAGTCCTTCTTACATAAACAAGAAGAATACAGTTTTGAATACAAGCAAGAAGACTTGTGCCGCCAACATGAGCAACAAGACCTTGTACAAGAAGGTCAATGTGTCGAACACGACCACGAAGATCATTAGCAATATTACCACCACAACCAAGAGGAGTAGCGCAATACAAGGAGACTGGCATGGCGAGCACAACCGAAAAGACAGCGAGAAAGAACACCACCACCACAGGCGACTACCATATGTGACTAACATAACCACGAAGATCAACAAGGCTACAACCAGAAAATACAACCACGAAGAGGAGAAGACAACATGAGGAATATGCTTTCGACGACGAAGAATAGAAGTGCAAACTAACTGCAAGAAGGAATCAAACGGGATTGCCGTAGAAGAGGTTGCATGCTGCACAAGACAATGTTAACAATGTTGCAATGTGAGCCATGAATGTTGCATTATATGCAGCATTAGGACTCGAAAAACACAACTATCAAGCATTAGGTGTGAACAAATCTTGATGAGGCCACAGTGTGAACACATTAGGTTGAATTTGTCATGTGAACGGTTTTGGGTGAGCCCCTCGTGTGAACGCATTTGGGTTAGTTCCGGGTGTGAACGCGTCTCCATGAGTCTAGGCTACATTTCTTAACCATTAATTAAAGTTTAATGTGCACTTTGTGTTGCTGGATTTTAAGTCAGTATACAATTTACATTTGGCATATTACACTATTACTTGATAGTTGTGTAGTTGCATGCTTAATCTCATAATTAACTTGATTTCATTTTAATAAGGCATGGTATTCATCGAATGTACCATGTTAGTTTTAGAGTGTAAAAGTGGGTACTAAGGGATCTTTGTAAGATGAGTTGGGGAGGGATTGTGCCCACGAAATTGTAAAATTTCATGGCTAAAAAAATAGACAAATGTTGTGATAATACTTAATCATGATTTATTTATTCATTGTAAATAAAAAAATGAATTAATTTTACATGTTGAAATGTAAGTGTATATTCAAAATATAAGATTGTGTATTTCATACAACAAAGATTAATAATGTTTGTTCTGTTTTTATGTAAGGTGAGACTACTGGAAGACACTGCAATGAATATGTTCAATGCACTAAATATTTAAAGAATGAAAAATCCAAAATGTCTTTTTGACACCTTCCTTCAAAAAGTGTCAACAACATCCTAAAGTTAGAATAAATGAGGTGTTCAAAAATAATGATTGGAACTTGGAACATTCTGGTCAAAAATATCCACATGATTATTATATTATATTTATTATTATTATTATTTTTTGTTTGTTTGTTTGTTTTTTTTTTTTTTTTTTTTTTTTGTATTGTAGTATAATTTCTATATTAATTAAAATTTTCTTTTCAATGCATAGGTGAAAAGCTAAGGGTCACCAAAAGTGGTGATAACTTGAAAGAGCAAAGTTGTATAATTCCTCAAGAGATTCCCAATGTTTTAATAAATTAATTACAATAGAACAAGGAAATATTTAATCAATATTTATGTGACAAGTAAATCACAACAAAATAATTACTTGGGACACTTTTAAAACCACATTAAATAAGACATTTTTGCATTAAGTTTTACATGAGTTTGAAATAATAGTATTTAGTAATATTTAAAACATAAATAGGCAACTACTTTTTTATTATTTATTTTTTTAACTTAATGTCAAACGTTTTTAACATCTTAAGGAATGGGATTTTGTTTCAGGAAAATATGTTTTACCTATGAAAACTGAAACCGAAACAATTTCATATAATGTTTTAAAAATAAACTTTAGCAATTTTAAACTTAAAACAATTTCGTCTTTTCTTTTTTCGTTTTTAAGTTAATATTTTTTGTGTTAAGTTGTCTAAAGTTCAGAAATTTCAAGTATCATAAATAAAGTTTTGTAAGAAAAGAAAAAGAAAAAAGAAAAAAGAAAAAAGAAATTGTACTATAAAAGATCAAGTTTAAATGTTTATAATTTTCCAAAAAAATCATATGTTATGTTTACAGGGAAGTTAAGATGATTTAAATGGTTCAAAAATAAAGCAAAGGTGTTTTCAAAAAAATTACTTACATAGATACCAACACAAGATAAATCCATAGATGGTTGTTTAAACATGATGTTATGTAATATTGTTGCATATAAAGTAAATCTTTAATTTCTTTTGAAACAAACCAACATTCTAACATATTTTTTTTAAGGTCACCAATTTTAAATCTTTCTGTTAAACTCTCATATTAAAAGCACGACCACTTTTCCAATATTATAATATTAAAAAGAGATGACGATGAGTCTTTTTTGATAAATATGTTTAAAAAAATATACAAAATATACAAAATTTAAACATCTTTTTCTAAAGATCAATGTTTTGATATTATTATTGAACTGTTAAAAATAGTATTTTTTGAAAATGACATTGATGTTGTGCAAAAACAAAAGTGCCTGAATTTTCACAACATTATTCATTAAAGACCACATTTTAAAGTTTCTTATATTTTGAGAACATTATTTTATAGTGAAAAATATATTATTCTAAGAAAATAAGAATAAAAACGAGAAATTATTGTTCTCATGATAATTATTGTGAGGAATTAATATTCACAATAATTCACAATAATTTATTATTCTTCTTGTAAGAAATTTACATAACATTACTTTATTAGGTACCATATCCCTCATGTAAATAATGCATTTAAAAAACTTTCTTATTTCAAGATTTCCTGATAAATATGAGAATATTATGTTTCATATATTATAATTAGTTTAAATACAATCCAAATTTTATGCTTTTTCCAAACATGTGAAATTCTTCTGATTTTTACTTAAATCACTGAAAATACAACACCACTGAATTAAAAGAACCACAACAATAAGGATAATAAATTATTGTGACTTCTATAATTAGATTTACTTTAAACAAAATCAGGAGTAAATGCAAATAAACAAGGTTTTCTTAGTTTTTTTTTTTTTTTTTTTTTTTTTAAATTTTTACATATTCTTAAAATTTTATTATTATTATTATTATTATTATTATAATATAGTTAGTGTTCTTCCACTAATTATTATCTTTTTATATGAAAAAATATTAATTATGAAAGATTATTAATTGTTTGAGGTGGTGAGTTGAAGATGGTATAGAAATGAAAGGTTGCTCGCTTCTACCATGGCAATATGTGGCCATGCCCGGCCTCTATTAATAGAAGTCAATGACAATCAATTAACTATTAAAAATCAAAGGTTATTAATTTATCACCATGGAACAATTCTCTACCGTCACCACTTCAAATCCGCCTCAACTCTGTGTTGCTTTTGCACAACATTTTTCCACCACTTCAATGATTCAATGGAGCACAGCATTCAACAACCATGAAAAATGTACTGTGAATCCAGGTTGAGTTTGTACAGTACCCATCCCAGAACTGTACAAATCACTGGATAAGCATCATATCTTCCGAAGTTTGCACAAGAAAACAGCTTCACAACTACTCTGCTGCTACTCATACAAAACTCCAGAGTCCCCTTTCGTACCAACAAAACAACCCAACTAGGTACCAACATTTTGTAACAATAAAAACAACAATGTAACAAGAGAGAAGACCTGACTTCGAACAAAATTCGGCAACTTTCCGCATTCTGTGCACCTTGAAAATATTTTGATTGCATGTGGAATAGGGGAAATTAGGTCTGTTTTTCCACAAGAAAGCCCAAACTGATTGGTGATATCGGGAACT